TATATATATATATAAAACATTCTTTTATATATTAAATTTATACGTATGCGGGACGCGCATATGCAAATAAAAACTTTAACCAACGTCAAGAAATATATTACGATATTTTAGCTAGTTTGACCGCTTTCCCAGTCGCTTATTTTATTCAAGTCGGTTAAATATGGTTAATCTGATAATTTCAAAAAATGAAATCAAATGCCATTACAAAACAAAATGAGTAGAAATTATTTGCGTATATCCAAGTAATATTAAATTTTAGACCTTAGTTACTCAATCGACCCACAAACAAGTCGTTATTTATTAATCAAAAATAGCAACCAAAAAGAATCAAGTTCTCAATTATTTACGTATTACAGAAGTTGGAACGAGGGGCTGATTACAGACCATACTTTGCATTAGTAGACATGAAAGGAACAGCGGTATATCGGCGAAGCCTCATTTGATTGCACTTACAGGTTAAGTGTAATCAAATAAAGAAAGTACAAAACTATCTAAGCGGAATACATCGTAGACCATATAGCTAACAACTCTGAAAAACATAAGAACACTCAACGCTCACTCTATTGCCTGTAACTCAGCGAGAACCGATTTCGAATACGTTTCTGAAGGGGAGTGTAATAGCATTCACCTTCGTTAAAGTCAACCATGAGGAATCTAGATATTAAAAGATAGGTCATTTGAAAAATATTTTTAGCAATTTCGTAGTGCCATGACCTATCAAAGAACAGATAAAATAACTGCAATAATTTAAAAAGCCTAGTCACATATTTAATCCCTTATCGGTTGTCTCATTAGTAAATCAAAAATCGATTCTCAGCGGCTAACCGGCGGGCAAACATAGAACTACGCTAACAGCAAAAACTACGTATAGAAAATTGGCTTTGTTTAGCTGTGGATTAGTGGTGCGAACCGATTCACTGCGTCCGATAATTATTATTGTCGGCAAATGATATGGTGTAAAAATGACTGTTATTGATTCTGGTCGTAATGAAAAAATACGATGGTTCGATAATGCGGACGGTAGCTATGTTAAACCGAAACCCGTAAGACATCGAACCTAGGAGCAGGGTGAAGTTCTAAAAAACACAAACAAGTTCGATGATGTCCTTATATGTGCCTCATTAGTTAACGCCGTGTCCGCGATATCACGCGAAGTCGCTCTTACCTAAACAGGCATACAACACAGGAGCGAAAAAAACCCTACATGGATGTTATTACCAAGAAAAAGATTAAGCAAAGCCCAGCTATTAACGTCGCGCAAAAAATTACTCCGCCATATATGGCTATATAAAAAAAAAAAAAAAAAAAAGAAGATCAGAATGTTTCTTGCAACCAGTGTAGTCAAATACTAGGAATATTTAGAACTGTTGTTGGTAACCTACCAGTATTTGCGCGAAGCCATCCAGATACGGACACATTATATTTTTAAAAGACCATTGTTGCGATTTAGCTAATTAATATACCTGTACTGAAAAATGTCATTAGCTAGGTTAACTGTACAATTGTATGATCTGTATTTCTTGTAATGTAACAGCTTTGTTGTATACATCTCTTTGATATGATGTTCATAGCCTGCGGTAACAACTATTTTGTTTATATATAACCAATCTAACATTGTACATTAAGCAATTCTGGTAAATAGGGTGCACAATGTTCAGCCATTATTGCTGCAATGACACGCTTGTGTTACAGTAGTCTTATGAGTACATCGGCTGCCGTGGAACATTAGCTAGCACTTAATAAAACATGTGTAGCGCATTTTTTCCATCATTACCTATCATCTCTATTATTCTATCATTTTCTATTAATGTACACAGTGTAGTGGATATGAATTTCCTGTATGATTTCCCGTATTATTCACACGAACATACCCGAGTAAACTATTGCACTTACAACTTACAAGCCACTCAAAATAGCATATCACAACCGACAAATCGATATTGCCGTTGCATGTCACAGTCGTTTCCGCAAAGTCAAAGTTGCAGATGAGTTAATTGATACTTCTGTGCAATATCCATGATTACTGTTTCCTATGCGACGCATAACTGACTTATATAGTACAATACAATTTGAAATCGTCGTCATCGTCCCACTGACATTCGATTTCTAACGATAATCATCTAATCCATCAGCGCGATGTAAGTTCTTGGCAAATCTGCCATCGACATCTCTATGAAGAAATCCTTCTTTAGCACACATATATAAACATGTTTTTCTATCTGGATGCAATGTGCTCGTTCGATACCGGTAATTAACGCTTTGAAGCCACTTGCTTTGCGCGTACTTAATCGTTGGTGTGTAGAAAGTATATGACAAGTTTTTGACTCATCACAGCTAAATGCACCTGCTTTTGTCTAGAATGACATGGGATGCCTTTTAGCACACCTTTAAAGACACTTGTGAACAATGACTGCAAAGGCCCGGTAAATCGGCGTGCTATAATCGCTTCACTGAGGTTGACATCGTTTCTGAGGGCCGCAAATTTCTGTCGTTGGCGGGAACATTTTCCGCGAGAAAATTTTACACTTTCCCACTTGTTGCGACTTAAACAACCTTCGTCCCGTTATCGAATCGACAGACTGGAGAGCTAGCTCCGCATCGCTTGAAGTTTGAATGGAGCTGTCCTTGCCACTCTTAAGACGTCAACTAAAAAGGTCCAGAACAAAAACATAGGATCCGATTAATCCGTGAATGCTCACTTTGCTTTAACGCATGTATCTGTGAGAGGGTAATCTTTGCTGATGTTTTTGCTTGCAATGAGAGACATCACTAGTGTAAAGTTTGATAGTCTTACGTTACGCTCGCCAGATGGTCAGATGGCTCGCCCAGTCAACTGAGTAACCATCAGGAGAAGACATTTTGCAGTAGCATAGGCGGCGTATGCGGTACTGTCGAGCTTGAAGCTCATAAGCAGAGGTAACCAATAAAGCACGTCTTTAAGCTAGAGGAATCGCTTCTAGGTGAATTTGAAAACTAAAACAGTCTTAGAGAGGCTTCATTGGGAAACCTTGTGAGGTAAAAACCGCGCACGTGTTTTTCGCGTAGTGCCTGCATAACGAAGGTATTCAGGTGGCATTCTCTTAGCCCGTAGTATTATTAAACGACGACCCAAGTTGGCTCGGACTGAAGCCTAAAAGAAGGACCAAAAAGTCTCTGGATAGTAGTGGCCTTAGCGGAAACAGGTCCAACAACTGGTACTGAGTTCCAGAATCGGCACGTGATATAAGCACTTGGGTAATGCCCGCGAATATTTTACAAACCTTTTTAAACAATTGACCCTCTTTTAAGTCTGAATATGTGAAAAACAATCTATTTTTTTTTTTAGAATTTTTCTTTTCTGAATAATAGCAATGAGATATGATATTTCAGTGAAGCAAAAAAACAAAATTACATTTTTTGACCGCTGTCATATTATTCTAATAATACATCTCTAAATGATATATCGTGATTTTTATGCGTTTGACGGCTCCTCGTATAAACAATTTTTTTCTCTTTTTAGGAAGTTGTTTTTAGGAAGAACCAGATAAACGAAACTGTCCATTCTTATTAAATCCCACCAAAAATGAGGCAATTCTGGCCGTGGCGATGAAGAACGTCAATATTCACGATCGTAGAGTAGTCAAGGAACAGTTGTGTTTGTTGGGCCAGGAGTTATCTAAACATTTGTGAGTTGAGCGCTTAGCTAAAACCGTTGTGCTCCATATGTAAATTAGTATTTACGGTAGGTTATTCTAGAAAGCTTTTTAGAATACTGTAATGGAATTAAGTGACAAACAAAAAAATTAGGTAACTTACGAAACCTCAGCCCTTTTTTCTTTCAATTTTCTGTCTTTTTAGAGCATCAATGCGTTTAAAGTAGAATAAAAAAAATAGCCATATCCTGTAATTTAAATGAAATTTTTTCATTAGAGATTGTGGATTTTTTTGGAAGGTGGTAGCGCTCGGGAGAAGGTTTCGTAATAATACTGTCTATTTACTACAAAAACGACCAATGATGCGGCCGCTGGACACCACAAAAATATCGATTTCGACACTTTTAAGATAAAATTAACAGTCGAAGTGTTGACTATAGCTTAGCTAAGAGACGAATCTCTTCGTATAGGCTAGGGCGATAAGTGGAAATAAAGTTGACGTAAAATGTGGTATTTGACCCATCGAATGGTGGTTTAGAATCGCCTTTGTGTCTATATTTATACCAACAATGAGAGAATATTATGAAAATAGAAGGCTTAGACGACTGGTCAGTCTTTAACGAAATGGCTACGAATCATTTGACTTAAAAACACTCTGTAACTTTACAGAATTTGGCAATGTTCTTCAAGAAAAAAGTTTTACAGTCCTTTCAATAAATTTGGATTGCTTAAAGGCTTCACAAGCAAGTAATTTTTCTCAAAAGTCAGTATTCTTAAATATATATCAATTAGGTAAGTTGTTTTCTATAGATATTATGCGTGATAACCAGTAGCATAAATCATATTTAGTACAGTGAAATTTAAATTAATATGACAAACTGAAAGACGAAAACGATATTTTCACACGTCAAGCTTATTATTGTATTTAATATACAATGGTGGCGTTGAGCTAGACAAGCCTTACGCTAGCCTTTCGTGTAGAAAAATGGCTGGACTTTTTTTTTTATTACAATACCCATGAAGTATTTTTGAGGAACAGTATTTATGAGGACGCTGAATGAATAATTTTAGGGGTCGCTAACGAAGATTTTTCTATACCAACGTCTGATAAAGATAATATCTAGGACGATTTTAAACCTAAACAGAATTGAAGTGAATCTGCAATCATATGACGTGAGGATTAGTCGAGATAAAGACATCATTCTACCGTTTTTACCCTCCACCTACAACATTGCATTTGATTGTTATAATGGGCAAGATGTAAGTACATATTCATTGCTTCAAGGGCAGCGGTACATCATGCGGAGCGTCAGAAGGGTACTTTATCGATGAATTTAAGATATCAGGCACTGAAGATGCAACACTGACAAAGAGCAAGCGCACCCGCGTACGATAATCGTTCATGGCTATAAGTCTACACCTAACTACAAGCGTTAGTCGTTCGTGGCTGTTGTTGGCATAGTGATAGTTAAACGTTGCATAACTCCCCAAATAGATTCTGCAAATTGTTTCGTATCGAAAAAATGATGATACAGCATGCATTCACTTCGCGTTACGAACCCTTGTGTTTCAACCGGCCACACCGCCTACGTCACGATGCATACTTTGTTTGCCGATTACTATATATTAATCGTATTCCAACCCAGCTTTATGACAATAATAATAAGAGTTGTCCTACGAAGTTCACAGCCAAAAATATACTTAACAACTTAGGTTTACGCCTTTGGAGAAAGTTACTTAAGCTAACATATGTACGATCAGTGCGAGTTGAGTCGACAGTAAATGCTTCGTCAAAGTCGTTTGAAATGCGAAAAAACTGATGCCACCGAGGAACAGATAGCGGTGAATTACGTGAATTCAATGAATGATTCATGGGAAGCAGGCACTCGAGTAGAAGCTACCCGAAAGGAACTCTGCCGTGGTAAACCATGCATCGTCGGGTCAATCAACCGGAGGGATTAGGACAAGCGTTAGAATAACGCAACGGAGTGAGCGAGAAGGAGGGAAGGGGAGGCAAACAGGCAACGTATGGAACAGCAGGAACGAAGGCGACGCAAATAGGCCACCTGAAAGTGAGTCTGTAGAGGGCAACGTATCACCTTAGAAGGTTCGACTGACTGTGAAACAAAATTTCATTGGCCGATAGATAGAGCTACTACAACCTCTACTGCCATATGACTTTCGTCTACAAAATACACCCTAAAGCAACTCAAATATGCTATGATGGTTTATATCTAAATTTTAACAATATGAATGGATAAGGGTGAAAGGTCCGCTTCCACACCTGCCGAATCTAAGCATGTTGATGTTCTATAAATGATACTGTAATCGATGAAGGACACCAAAATCGAATGACTTTGAATGTCTGATCTTAAAGGGAACAAGCACGGTGTTGGTCAAAGGGTCTACCTGACCAGTAAGCCATATGTAAATATTTATTAGTAGAATCAGATATATTTCTTATAAATGGCACAGCGGCGCCACCTAACGACGTGCTGCATTTAGTAGTTTACGCGATTATCTAGCTAGGTCTATTACGAGCACACCACGTATCACTGCAGTTTATAGGCTACACGACTACGTCGGTCCACATGAACCGATGTATTTTCGCTGGGTTCGTTGGTTACGTGTTTGCACGTCGCCAGCTCAACAGCACGCGACAGCGGGGAAGGTAAACTCTACAACGACAGGGAACAGAGGGGATGACGCAGACTGTGGAGGCAGGGATAGGGGAGTGATGTTCGCGTTATCAGGCGAATTCCTACCAAAATACGGGGCTTCACCGCACACCAACATCGGCAGCAGCTCACGCCTGCACGTACGGCACGCAGAGAACTGCCGGCCGGCAGCCAAGTATGTAACAGCTGGACGATGATGGTGTACGGGGTGCTCAGAAAAGTAATTTTAGACCGTCGACATTCCGCCCTCATGATGCCCCCTACGGTTTTCTACTGCTATTGTCGTGCCTATGGCCCTTCCCCGTTGCGTTCAGGTAAACTGGTAAAGTCGTAAGGTCTGAAGCTTGAACTTCCGCCGATTACGACCAGCTCCAGAGACCGCCCTCCCGGCTTCCCTTCCAGTGGGGTAGCTGAGGTCTATAGTTGACCACCGATAAGACCACCACCCTCTCTCATTTTTGAGACCATCTGAGATTCGCACGAAATGATTCGGCGAAACGGCATGCCATCGCCAGTGAGTGAACGCAATCGCGAATTGCTAAGCTTTCATAGGCAACACAGACTATTGTGGTACTTAGTCATTGCTACTGGTGCAGTTGGAACATTTGTTACAGGCGACTATAGTGAAACGGTTTAGTGACGAAGAAGATCCTTGCTGGTAGAAAGTGAATTAATTTGTAACGACATATCTTGTTGTACCAATTCGAAGACGACAAATCTTCGTGATTCTCTTTGGGTGAATACTTAAACATCTTGTGAACGGCTGATTGTTCGTCTTAGAGCTGCTATTACGTAAGTAGCCATTAATGATTATACTAAGTGCTAAATATGCAATAAATGATCAACCGTAAGTTGTTTCCTTTTGATAACTGATGGTATAATATACGTGTGCCATTGTCCTAACAGAAGTCTGTATCAACACAAAGACATATACTGGCTGTTTAGATGTCAGCACGAGACACTCCACAAGTGCACTCTAAAGAACGAGCGTAATGTTCTCGACAGGATTATTCGAAGCCTTCACCGAAGGACCCTGTGCGAGTGAACAGCTAACCCACGCATAGTTGAAGGCAGATGGCTAGTAGTGCTGTATATATGATCATCCGGAAATACCGGATCACTACTGACCAGCTTTAGAATCCTAAATAACTACATGCAGATTTTCAGACAATAGCTCATCGAGGCACTATATGACTACAATAAAATCACTGTTACAAGGCTAAATTGAAAAACTGATGAGGGCTCCTTTATGTCCCGCGAGGCCAGATGCACATTTTTGGCGCCTAATAAATTTTCTGGTTGAATGAACACAAATAAAGTGTGGTTTGTCTTAGGAGTATACATTGACCGCTTGCTACGTAAACAATAACTCGTTCGTCTAATAATGCTTTTTTCTTAGGGAATTCAAGTATACAATTCTCAAGAACGATAGATATCACATAGTCTGCATCAATCAGGCGACAAATTGACTAAGCAGAGTAAATTTGAAGACACACTCTCCAGCTAATGAACAGTGTGTTAAAAATGTTCACACAGAACAGGAGATATTTTGGATAATAGTCATCCGGAGTTATATACCTGTTGGAGCCGTATATTTTTTGTAGTTGTTTACATGGGTTCATGTCTTTATATCGACAAAAGTCCATGAGTTTGCATTCTTGATTCTAGATATATCCACTCACGTCAAACACATTATTTGGAATGAATGTTTCCGTTTTTTGGATTACCCTTATTTCCTAAAATTACCCCTAAATGGTAATTTTATAGCACGCATCGTGTTTTCTTCAATGTCAGAAAATTTAGAATGAATACTTTTACGTATCAAATTATATTATGACCAATGATGGCTATTTACATGTTCTCATCCCCGCTTTAATTGTAAACCTGCTTCTTTCTAAATATGAACCTACCTAGGCCATTCAAAATCCCGTATCGATTTTTACATATGTTTGACAAATGGCCACTTGTCACCCAAGATAATTGGTCGAATAATGTGCTGTTCATTACTTTCTATTATCCCTAAGAATTCTACACAAATCGTGTAGATGAAAAAACCTACTTTTGCCCGATTTTTCGACAAAATTTATAATGTCATCTTTTACGAGAATTATAGTTTGAATTTAAGCTTAGGGCAGTATGGCTAATAAGCTTCAAAAACTCGGTACCAAATGGATCTTGTACGAGTTGCTCTATTAAGGGTAGAAGCGCTGACCGTTGTAGTTCGAGCAGGAATTCAGTTGTTACTTAGGAAGAAGCTTGACATCGTATCATCAAGTAGTAGTATTCATAATTTCGCTTTTAGCACACTTATCGTAATAAAAGCACGAAGCATTTTCACATCAAAATCTGTAGAGTTTTTGGAAAAGTAATTTCACACAATATCACAAACACTCCAACTATACGTTTTGCAATTTGGTTAGCTTTGTTCTCCGAGAGCTACTAGCACTAATGTCTGTATGAAAAAAAATCGGTATATGCCCATTCATGAATCACTGTAAGATAAAATCTACTTTTGAAAATTCGAAGCTAGCCACGACCTGTCAGCACTTGCTAACAATATGAATTAATACATTTTCGAATAATTAGGGAACTATTCATGAACACATTTTTTGGCAAGTAGCCGTTACCCGTGACTTGTTAGGCTAATCATGATAGCATGTCCGCTTTAACAGAATACCGGCAAAACTATTAGCAACTGCAAATCCCATGAGGTGGTTATTAGGCAAGTCACATCGCCACACCTACCCCCAACAGCGACCCCCAACCCTACCTCCATTTATAATAAGCCATTTTTAACTGCACAGTCTTGTTAACCTGATTATCTAGCAAGTGACTCTTTCTTTACTAGCTTATGCTGCCTGCTTAGCTTGAGGGTATATTATGTAACGGAAGATGCGGGTGATTTAAAAAAAAAACCAAGAAACTGACATATAATGTTGCAAGAAATGACGAACAACGCGACAAACGATGGGATCTTTGACAGGGCACCCATAGCTGTTTTAGCAGGTCGGCCTAGGTAGCCATTGCGCAGAATCTGCAAAGACACCTTCTTTATCCTGACAAAAACGTGTATGGTCGAATAATCAAAAGTTCAAGCTAACTGGTAGAAACGGTTTCTGCTACAGACATCCCTCGGATAGGAACCTGCATTTATGTATAGCGTGCTTTCAGATAAATAGAAAAATTCTTTTGTGAAGTTTAGTAAACATTTTTTGGCAAGTCAAAATAGAAATCACAAGCTCTATGGACACCAGCATCAGCTCGGTATATTTTCACTCCTCGAAATCCATCGCAATTCTTTTCTAGTGTGTACCATGATTACGATACTAACAAAACATACAAACGTGTCTTATCTCGCTACGCTTATTACATACGAGACTAGCCTTATTTATATCATATACAGTGGCAATGCTGAATATTCGTCACACGCAGAAATGAATCAAATGAAACAGTCAGTTCGATACATTCACGTAAGTCGCTTATAATTACCGCTAATACAGTGTGTAAATCCTACTCATGTTTACGTATTCATTAGGCTTGCATGCTCCCATTGTTTGATGTATTCCCTAAGGTTCAGCGATCGCTCTTCCGAACATCAAAGTCAACGTTGAAACACTCATGGTAATCTCGATCAACTAACACAATTGGCACCAGCAATGTGTTTACTGATCGAAAGCTACTAATTAACAAAATAGCCGTCACTGAGTACCGTTCACCGCGAATACGCGAGCCGATCCCGAAACGCAAGCGTCGTAAAACAAAGTAGATGAACTTGTCCGACTGTTAACTCTAATTAGAATTAAAAAGAGCTCAGTCGATTTTATGCTATGCTGAGACAAATATCTACAGTGGGTTTTACTGTTCAAAATGGATATTTCTACTTTCTGCCTACACGCGTTGGTGAGGGCTCAATAAGAGATTTTCTGGATCAGTCTGCGCAGAGTCGGTGTGGTAAAGGCGAAAATAATAGATTTTGCATTACGATTGACAACGTTAAAGGAAAAATTATCTTCATTGTCCAGTTTTCGCTACAATCTCGCCTAGTCTCTACTATTAGGGATGAAACAAATGTTTGATTTTCGTTCATTTTTACAAAAAGCAATTTGTACTTCTGCTTCCTGTAATGAAATTGTCCTTTGTCTTCTGGCCTATTAACGTCCCGAGCGTGTAAAACCTTTTACAATCCCTGCCTGTCCTTCTGTTCAAATCAGCTGGACCAAACGTGGTCAAATGTATTTTTCTCGTTGTTTTTTTTTTATCTGTTTTATCACTACTCATAAGATACTTCCTTCAGTGTTTTTTAGCCTCATCTTCAGTAATCATTCTCCAACAGGTGAATTTGAATTAAATCAGTTACAGTATTAAGGGTCGCTACCTTTAAGGTGTTGCCCAAGATTTTGTAGTAGGGAGCCTTAGTAGAATATATCTTGCATCTAGTACTAATTGTTTTCGTAACATGTGGTGTCAACGAACGATCCAAACAATAATTTCTCCTCAGGGACCTCATTTCTTCAATTATTATGGTACTAGTTTCCTGAACCAATGCTTTTCTGAACCAATCTAGTCCTTGAATATCCTGAATATTGGTCTTATCTCCAGGATGAACGCAAAATTGTAGTTCATTGAATGGCACAAGTTTCTCTATTGTCATAACTTATTTAATAATAATACATGGCCCGTGTAAACCGAGCTCCTTCCTATTTACAATACTATTTTGAGAGACAATTTTCATGTCTGGGTACAGATTATAGCGGGCGTTCGCCAATGCGTTTCCGATGGTAAATTACGGAGCATCTCCGAGACTAAATAGTCGCAGAATTTCTTCAACCATGCTCAAATTACTATAAGCCGTTATAGACTCATTGTTATTTATACTATACTTGCTATTTAATTAATTTTTATTAGAAGACATCAATAATTTTTCGCCTAAATTGCGAATGATTAAGACAATTTTCTCAACACATATTTATTTCACTTTATTGATCAATCTCCAAAGATATTGGCTGCAAGTTTCGCATACTCCGCGACACTGTACAGGGTTTGAACCTATACGCATTAGCAGCTGATGCAATTGCCACCATCGGCAGAAGTAAAACGTCCAACAACGAATGTTGCAAGTGAAAGCTGCGGAAATTTCGCACCATCGACATGTTAGCGATAGCCAAGCATGAAAAATGGTAGTGAGGTTCATCAAAGCCCACTATGTGGGTTTATTTGAGGAGTAACCCACTTGTACAATTCATCAGATGAGGTGTGACGTCGAGCAATAATACGAAACGGATAGCCCATCGAGAATCTAGTCTGATGGTACACCATCGCCCCTCTCGTCCGTTGTACGAAGCTTTAGTGCTTAATAGACAGGCGCGGAGCAGGTTGTAGCTGAGTGTTGCGTCGAAGAGCGTTGCCCAGCTTGACAATCCTGATGGAGGTGGTTAACGATGCATGACTCCGCTACGCCGGCCATTGGTCCAAGCCGGTGACATAACAAATGCTATTATAGTAGACATGATAAAGGATTGGAGCCCCAACGATATCTACTCCTTTTTAGAGGATACGCAGTACAAATCGAAAATCAACACCAGCACGATGACGACAATACACAGAAATCTCATGGTTTAGGCCACTGTACGAATAATTCTAGTCGTGGCAAGAAAGCAATTGTTTCAACGTAAAATTACAAGCCTAATACTTGTAAATATGAAACCCGCTAGTAGGACATTAGTTTATCGATTTTCGACTGGTTTTATTTTTAATGCTGTTAAAATCAATTTACAAAAAAGTGAACGACGAAAATAAAAAAGACGAATAGTTCCACACTTGGCACGCAGATGGGCTCTGACAAGACATTGAAACAATGCCAGCAGCAAATTTTAAGACCTATCGTATAAGGAAACGGTCAGGATCGATTCAAATGATTTATTTTTAAAATTAGTACTATTTTGCTGCAGGCTAAAATCGAAGGCTTATTCAAGCACAGATTTTCCAACAAGAAAATGGATATCACTGCTTACGTGTAACGCATCGTGTAATTTTTTTTTAAATAAATAATAAAGCTTGTGCGAAATATAATTAGTAAAATTAATAGCACCAAATGGCGCAAAATTACTGCTTTGAGTTTACCATTAGTATGTTTTTGTTTCTTTGTACACTTCGTTAATTTATTTATGGACACGCCGGTATCAGTTCATAATATCAGGGTAAATAATATTCGGTTAGTGAATGGTTCCTAAAAATTCGATGCCACTGTGTGTTTCGCTTTCTCTATATGTTTATTATTTATTGAACGTTTAGTTAACATCGTAACGCAGTCTTGTAACTATTTCAAATCGTCCCAAAATGATAGTCTATTATAAACGGTATAGTGCTTGCAGGACATACCCTGTACCATGCAAACTTGTGAACTATCTGAGGTAATAAGGCTCCACCTGAAATTTTTCTTCAGGCGAATTGTTCTTCACATTTTATAATATGTCGCACTATGCAATATAGTGATAATTATAGCTTCACGGGCGGAAATAAATATCATTCATCAACTAACCCACCTGGGTCTAGCACATGATAAACGAAAAATGAGGGACGAATCTGACGAAAACGTAAAGCTGCTTACTATTCGTGCTCAAATCGTACATTGCTCTACTGTCAAGCGCTCAGTCGACTCCATTTTTCGATTATAGGATTCGTCCGTACGAGAAGTCAAGCAATTCTCCAGAGTCATAAATTTTTAGTAGAGTATCTCGCACACGTTTATGTCAATGATTTAATTCGGACGCTTCGATTCAAATTGGTGAATTTCTAAATGGAATCCATGACAGAGTGCTATATGATGATTGTTAGTTGGGTCCGCCCTTTCAACCTGTAGCACAAAACCTTTAGGTATAATGCGTCATTAAACAGACGCTGTCACTATAGAGTGTTGGTTAGTTGTGAGACATCATTGAGATGAGCCGCATTCACCAGTATTATTAACACGTCCGTCGCCAATTAAATATCCCTTAATATTGATTCTGTACATTTTGTCCGGATCAATTCCAGCCATAGGCACTTAGCTGAGTGTCTAATCAGTATTATGATATCGAATCCTGCATGAAGACTCCAGAAGACAACCCTGAAGCAATGAGGTGATAGCCTGTATAATTCTCATATCACCCAATCAATGAGCGTTGATTACGTGCCGCCGCTATTTATTACACTACTTCACTCAGTCTCGACACGTTGCTGCAATCTCATCAAATAACCTTATTAACACGCTAGGCCTACTGTTTTCTTTCATTTGAACCACTGTGTTTGACTCATCCTGTTAGAACCATAAACGTTACCTTGGACGGGCAATATCGAGTGAGTGAAGGTGCATCTGACACGTACCAGCACATACTGCTACATAACGTCAAAACAGAAAGGAAGATTATCAATACTGCGATAGCACAATAGCGTTCCGCGGCAAAAATAACTAATCATCCTCTTACATGCATACTTAATTTAGAAATAGTGACTACAAGTTCTATATAATTATAGTCGTAAAAGCAGAGGCCATTCTGACGAAATTGCCGTATCAACCTGTACGAAGAACGACTGATGGTTCTTTTAAGCAGTGTCAACAGAAATTTGCACGAAACGATATGAAAACTTAATTAGTTAGACCTAATTAGGTACTAGTTCTGAGTGAAGCTGATGATACGATAACCGGTAAATTCGGCTTATCAGAGTAGTATTTACATCGGGTTTTAGTGCGCGCGGTGGTTTCCCCGATGTTTCACAATTTCGAAAGGATTCAATTCCCGCACTTCTTTTGAAGGACGTTTTATGTAAACAATGTACTGCTGCATTGTTAAACTGTTCCTAGAAAATCTTGTGGGGTCTCGCTGGGCATGCCTACTGGCCTGCTACGCCTCCCATCTATGGGTCGTGGCTAGTTTTTGAAGGCATCGTGATCTGAATACGACTGTCCACTGCACTTCGCGGACCCAAACCTTCAACGAGGAGCTTCAGGGATAGTGCGGCGGTTTATTTATCCAATAAATATGAGCGCCGGATAACGCTGCGTCTCTATCAGCAGAGATGCGACACCTTTGAGTTCTTTAAAATTGTTTTCAGTAGAACACATTTAAACTAAAGAAAATCGATTATTATACTAAAATATTGCAATTTAACCAGACCCATTTCACAATATTGTTATGTTCTATAAAGCTCAATTAGAAAGTGTATGGCGTCTGTCAATATGATCTGGCGGTATTATGTATGTGAAATACTGACTAATTACTGTGGCTAGCTTGAAGCTCACGCATCAAAAATTCACGCGTTCAATTAGCAATGCTCATTGATAGTTACGACGTTTTGTGTTACTCTGTAACGTCAACACATTAAAAAACATTCTGTCATGAAATTGAAACACTTTATCATGATCTTTTAATTCATTGGGATCGCGTAACGAATAACACGTAAAGCCCGCGACAAGGAAGAATGGTATAGATAAAAAAAAATAAGGAGAATAAACTTTGTTATCTAGCTATTTAGCAAAGCATAAAAGATCGATATTTAATAAATATTTTGTAAAATACTGTAGTTGATAGTTAAATGTTTGTTTGGCCATTTACCTACGTAATCTATTCCCTTATTCTTGCCATATTTGCCACCATTATACTATTCAATTGAACAGGGACGTAAAATTTGATTATATACATCGCGCATAAATGTCTCTAATTGTTGTAGTCTATGTTATCTATTTAGTTACTTAAGGTTCGTGTAGAATACCGTAGCTATAGATTTATTTGGTTTTTCTTACAGATTATTTATGTATAGGCGATTAGTTAGGTATGTTATGTCACTAATAAAAACTTAGTTATGGCCATATCACATAATAAGCTCAGCAAAACGATGCGTTAATTCTATGACAAAACAATATATTGTAATACAAAAATAATGATGTACAAAAGTGTTGTGAAGCTTGCACCATTCAAGTGGGGGGTATGAAGATAAAAGGATGAAAATATCTTCTGTCATGTCGGAATTCGATATAATGGCTAATATATTCTAGAGTGGATAGCACCAAGTTAGTTGAGAGATGTGCAGTTCTTCAGGGTTTATTTTGAAGGCGGCGCAGCTCCGCACCATCGTAGAATACCCCAAGTGTAATTTTCCGATTGACTGTTTGACCCTCTCCATCTGCTCGTTTATGCCGTTTAGGTTATATGGGTCGTAGCCGGGCAACAATGGCTTCACGGCCAGTGTTCCACTGTGTGATCGCATGGAGCCACATTAAATTGTATATTCCTCAACCGGTTTGCGTAGGAGTTGTTCTAGTGTCTCGAGAGCTCCTCAGTTGGGCTTCTCCGGAGCGAAATCCGCGAAACGGCGAAGTTCACAAAGATTGGCGAAAAAAAAACCCTCGAGGGACAACAACTCCGCTCGTAAATCCGATCGAACGAACTTTTACTTTTTTGCAACGCCAAATACAGCAGCAACCGTAGCAGCAGCAGTAGCAGCTTTAACAATAATAGAGCAATAACAGAATACATCTTGAATAGGTAAACATAAACCCGAAGTCTGCAGATGTCCTGTGGTCTGAGCTGAAGAGTTAAAAATGTTCAGAATCTGACATTTTTGGAAGACCTCCTATTGGGCCACTTTGGTTACCTCTTATAATTCAGGTCTATAAGACAGGGCAAAGAATTGTACATGTTAGGCAAGAGTGGTGCTCTTATCTTTTGGCGATAGTGGCCACATCACGCGTTAACAACTACTCTAGACAATGGCGACTAGAGCGTTTCTAGTTGTGCCAATTCTGCGTCGTAAATTTATCATCAACTGACTGAAATGTGTGTTGCAGTCATCGAATTACTCTGAGAAAAGTTTTCCAAAGCAATAGGATTTATCGTGTTTGGGTATCCTTCGGTAGCTTAAATTAATATAGCCCATAAAGAGGACACTTTTTGCCTTTTTTCCAAGACAGCAAAGGTGAACAGCGTACGACGAAAGAATCGGGCGATCCTTCTACTAAATGTCAAAAAAAGAAAAGAACTCAAAGAATGGAGCCAAGGAAGGCAAATCAAAAGCAACCTCCCGAAAGAAAGGGAACCAATCGAATACGGATCTCGCGGCCATGGCACAGCAACACCGGCAAGTACGTAAATACTCTCCTAAACTTGCCTGTCTCAATTTTTGTGCGGAACCATTATTTTAGCTTGAAATTATAATAAATCCTCGAAATAAAATAGCGCATATTATTTACATCATTATTGATCATTGACAGAATTGTTGATGTAAATATATACATCGTGAAGAATTTCCGGGTAATTCTTTCATTATAAGTATAAGACTGGGTGCAATAGACGCGTTCCGAGTAGAAACTGAACTTTTTTCAATGTTTTCAGATCTGGAGTAATGAATGGAAGCGCCTAAAAGATCAGGAAGAGTCGGTAAAGAATGACGTGGTTGACAAGCTTCGTTACCTGTCATGCCAAAGTCTGGACGATGCCGCCGGACGGTGTCTCGAGACCTGGATTGACTTGGAGCTTGACGCCACCAAATTCTATGATAGCGCATCTTCAAGCATACAGTTTTTTAAGTGAGTCCAGCCAATTGTTCTTCACCTGTGTTCATAAAATTGAGAGTAATACTGAGCGAATAAGTCAAATTTCGAGGTATCTACTTGTGAAATTGGGCAAAGGACCACGCCGGGTACATTTTCACTGATTACTTTAAATCAATTACGTGTTCAAGTTAGAGTTTAAATGCTACATTGAACTACACTTATTGAAAGCTATAGGCTTTAAATCTTTACACAGGATACCAGAAATTGTTTGTGATATTGGCCGTATTTTTAGTTCCGTGCTTGTATTCCTATTAAAGCGATTTGTCATAATTGTAGTTAGTTGATCCAATAACGTGGTACCGCCTTAATAAATTTTTTTTATCTATCTTACAAAGTATCAAAACCTAAATTGCTTAATCCGAACTAAAGCGATACCAGAGGTTTTTCCGAGCTAAAAAAATCGGTTCGGCAAAGCGCCGTCTTGTTCATGCGGCACCTTTTCGGGACGTTACAGTCCTGACAACAAACCTGAAATCAATAGAAGCGCTAACCATCCAAAAGCAGCGAAGTGTTGGAAAGGATTAGAAATACTGAAATCAAACAAATCTGCGTAAAATTTGCATATTCTGTGAAAACAGTGCTAAATATATTCTTATCAAGAGAAACGATTTGGTGTCGAAGCTTAAGCCTTTACAATGAGATAAACCATAAATGGCAAACTTCATCAACCTTTTAATGTTTAAATTTCTTTCCTTATTTTGCCAGCATTTCAGTTGTCTTAATAGTGTTTGTCGAAATAATAATATACATTTTACTTCACAGCGCAGTCACCTTTAATACATCAAAAAAAAAAACATTGTTGTGTTCGTCGGACATAATTTCCAGAACGATTTCTATATTTTAGTTCGCACACGTTAGTAGGATTTTCTACGTTATTTTCACTTAGATCTTACGTAATGAGTAACGAATAGGATTTTAAGGACATTAATTTGTTTAATAACAGGCGACTGGTGCAGCGATGTCGTGATGAAGGCATCAGTCCAGAACTGGAAGCTGAAATTGAAGCTGCTTCTTTTGAACTTAATCAACTAACTGAGAAGTTAGCTCAAGACCGGATAGACGCGGAGTACGAGGTCATGCAGGTAGGCCCTAGTTGAGATCAATTTGCGCTTAAACCGCGACCCATCAGCGTGATCTGGGTGGCTAATGGACCTTTCTTCAATCGTTTTACCGTGGTAACTATGAACATGTGGCCATCGCTAGTTCAAATTTCAGCGCTGGCAATTAGCTATTATGAAGTAGCGTCATCATGCCATTTTACGGGTCTGCTGAATAAATAGCCAAATAGGTCCAGTAAAACTCATATAAAACAATGCGTAACGAATTCAGCATCGGACTTAAAAAAGGTCAGGCTCAAAGTGTTCGTATTTGTGATCATATCTGAGTAGGTAGCCGCCTTGTATCCCTTCACTAATAAAACCAGGGGGTCGAATATAGAATTTAAAGGAACTATTTTTAATTAGATATCATAGGATCGAAATAATCGTATATACACCAGGTTGTATTTCGTTTCAATATAACACCTTCTTAAAGGATTATGCATGTATATATAATGCCGGAGTCGTAGCACGGAACAAGTCAGTCGAGCGTATTAAATATGGGGGTGTAGATTACCGCAAATATAACCGGGTGCAATCATTACAATTTCTTGGCCGACAATCTGCCGGCCGCTAGGAGATCAAATTTTATCGAGCGACAACAAAGAACACAATATACACGATAAATCATACCGTGCATAGTGGAATCGTACGAGCGTTACTTCTCATAAAAGGGTATCGTAGATCATGTGTCCGTACGACAGAGAATATATTATAAACGACGAGTAAAGCTTGCACTAGATATAGCTTGTTTAGATCCTGTGAGTTCCGCATCACTGAACATGTGAGAAAACTTGTGGCAAATTGGATCTGCAAAACGGTCTGGTAAGAGTCAAACAGCTTTTGGTAGTATGCACCAATCAGGGTAAAATGCTCCTTGTTAGATTAACAAACCATGAACAGCAGATGATCTATTAGAGTGCATCTTTGTTTTTGTGAATCTCTCCTACCGGTCCTAGCCCCCATGATCATTATATTTTTTTTATTAAGCTAATTAAACACTTCTTATGTCTTAGGGACTATTGCACCTGAAAAACACTAATGGAAAGATTTTTCTTCCATCTTTCCGTCTTTGCCGTTGATGCGCAACGGCTCGTTGTAGCTTTACGGTTTATTGAACCTATTTGCTATGAAAGAGGGGCTGAATGCCTTACTAATATTAAACCGGCGGAAATCGCATTTGATTAAACAAAAGTTCGGACAAATCGAGCGCGCGAAGTTTCAAAGGAGCTCGCGATATCAGTTGGTTAGATTTTGGCCAAGCTTGTTTTCTTCTAACGATGTTGTTTATCTATCCTTGTAAAACGCTTTTGCAATTATTTAATGACACTATGTAGCGCCCTGCGAAAAAAGGAATATAGACTTTACCACAAATATTCCTCGAATATAGTGAAACCATACTTTTATCTACACCATAGTAAATTATAGAATAACTTTGATCATAGAAATATCACACAGAATGATACCTACACATCTTTAAATGAATTAGCCCAATGCTCAGAATAATTTAAGAATAAGTATGAACTTCTTCTTTCAGGAAGTTATCAATAATTTAAAAATAAGGTTACACATGATTAGCTCACAGAATATTAAGACATGTTCTATGCTGTATTATAGAACTATGTTTATATTGTAGCATGACAAGCATATAACGGCCGAGATTATCTTGTTTAGGTATGTATACTATTGTGTGATGGATTAACTATAACCCATACGTTTATTTGTATAAAAGGAAAGGTATTAAAAGTCTAGTTAAGTAACGCAAGGCTTTGTTCACGGAACCTAGGCTTTATCAGAACGTATAGGTTCAAAATTGGGTTTCAAGTTTTATTAGAATAAGTTCTAAAATGTACAGGGATATGGGATGCAGGATTTAGCGGGCGAGAATCTCAAAATAACAGACGAGAATCTTAGCAGCGGGGAATAGTCTGTGTAATGTACTAGCCGTAAAAAACGCAATGAAATAATTCAAAACCAAACGTAGATTTACTTGGTTTGGTGCTGAGGATTAGCCGTGCATGATGGATATATCAAACGCAAAATTCGAGACCAAAAATCGTTTGGCTTGTTGCAGCTGTTGGATCGTACAGTTCTAATTGCTCGCACATATATTGCAACTTAGAAGTATTGGGTCTGTTAATCAACTAGCATTAAGTTAATATAAAGTTTTGTTCACACTGAACATTCGCAATAGTAAGTTTGAATGAAGCGTATAACTAGAAGGTCGGTTTTTGAAGAAACCCACTTTATGAGCTAATTTACGCGATTAAATCCAAGTCATCGTTTTTCTATAGTTGCTCAAAATACTAAACCATAACAGATATCTAAATAATCTTACTTAATTATCAAAATGTATTTAGGAAATACTGATCGATCAAGTAAAGCCTATGCTAGACAATCACTGTTGCTACAGCCTTTCCTAACTTCAAAACGATGCTTAGCAGATTGAAATTGCATTTAGCCAAAGATGTTGTTTATACTTGTAGATCAATGTGTGCAACAAGCAAAAAACAAACATTTTCGCGTCACATAAAAACAGAAAATAAAGCGGAGGTTACTTGTGTATATAATTGCAGAGTCAATTTTTACTTCGTTATGGAGTATGCTTAAATTTGTTTATTAAAAAATTGTAGAAGGCATTGACATCAGAAATGCATTTTTATTATTTTATTATAGTTATCGCATTTGTAGATAACCTTGACTAATGATGAGTCTGCAAACGATGTTTGATTTTATTAAATGTCTATTAAGCTTAAAATATGCTTTACTCATGACGATGGTTAAGCAAATAAATCGAACTATTGCGTCCGTACTAAGTATATCTGATATTACACAACTTTGAAAAATTGCAGGATCCTAACGCGAGAATATATGAGTAAGTGGAATAAAATAATTAAAAATAATTATAAGACCAATAGTAGTGATAATAACAAAAGAACACTTACATGATATAATTAATAACCTAATTGAAAAAAATTAGCTGAGCTGTTTTTAGCAGCAGAGATCACTCAGAAAACCTACGACGGATATAGTTAATAACAGAGCTTTTAAATAGACGTAATGACGAACTTAGAACGACAGTAGAAGAAGGTTTTAGGTTGTAACAAGTTAGCAATTGAGGTCTTGTTGTGCCAATCGGTAACGTAGATTGAGAAAAGCGAGCTGTCTAAAAACACGTACGGGAATGGATCAAATGATAACCCGGCCGATGATGTAAGGTTTTTAGGTAGACCGAATGGTGAATCAAGAGGCCGATACGTAGTTTATGAAGTTCGGAAATATTACGACCAGTACCAAATAAATGAACAGAAAAGACGTACGACGGATAATTTAACTTCAAAGGGGGTCATCGACTCGCCTTTAAACTTTCGCCTAAATAGTTCTCTGACAAGTTCGTGTATTTCAATACTTTGTTGTTACCCTGCTGATAGTTTCCTAATCGCCGATGTAATCGATCATGTTCTTACGTTTCCATTCAGTTCAAGAAATAGTTCCATCAAGTTGTACGAATGCCGGTTTTTCCTGAGCATTATCTATTAAATCGTTCTTTAGTGTTAGGTTAAATACGCGACGCAAGTCACAATAGGTTCCGCAAATGCTACAAAGTGTTACCTTCTATATGTCTCTATGCGTCGATGAATATACTAATTTTAAAAGCCAATTCTTCGGAGAACGAACCTGCTCTTGGACGAATTCCCTTTCTTTAGTATCATTTATTGGTCAGATGAACTCTAGACACAAACCGAATGGTTCCCGAGCGCACTCTCAGTAGCGCTGTAAACGACATAAACGTGGCTCAGCGTAATCGCCGACGAAGCGGAACAGGTGAAAGGCCAGCAGCAAAACACCGCCTACTATAATATTTCGAAGCGTGGGGTCTTTATTGAGCAGCAGGCAGCAAATGATTCTGTCCACTAAGCTTTGACTAGTCTAGAAAGAACTATCCTGTTATTTCGGCCGCTGTGGTTGATGGCATAAGCCAATCCAAAAACCCTGGGCTGTTGCCAGCTACAGGATTGGTCTTGACCGCTCACCATCGACGGAACAATACCAAGCGAAGACTGGAGATATATAGGGAGGGGGAGGGAGTATCTCGGGTCACGTGTGCGTTCGGGTTCCAGCCGACGTATCTATTTGTGCCTCCCTATATAATATAAAGGCCCTTGATAGGATTTGATGTGATGCAAGGGTACATGTCACGTAGGCAGTAGTGTCGCTAGCCCCTCCGTATATAGCTATAGGCTTCACTCCAAACCTAGGCAGTAAAGAACGAATTTGCGAAACTGGCCTGCCTACCTGCTTTGTTTGCTGGCAGCGTAAACTCTTTTAACAAAAATCTAAATACTAAACTCTCATAAAATAACTCTAGTACGTGGCTTGGAAATAAGCAAAGCAACAGGATTGATTAATCAAGTACCCGATTCTGTGCCCAGTCGGAAATCAATCTAATCTGCTCTATGCGCGTTATAGTTACAGATTTTCAAATATTATATATTCAGACGGAATGTGAACAAAAAAATATTTGTGAACGTTTTGAAGTACGCTTAATACTTAAGCTTTTTGGGTGGGCCTTTAGCACGACTTCGTAATCAAATCTACATCGTACTTTCAAGGACATCTGAGTGCCGCAACAGTGAGAGGCTACCAGCCCTTGGGGAGTGAAATAATCTCGTATTAAAATGCTTTGCTTTTTAAATTACCTGCTTATGTTATTATAATACTCACAACGACTCTTTAGCACCGTAATGGATATGTGAGAGTGCACATAATAATAAGAGCTATGTAGACTAAAAAGGCTGATAGCCATGAGCATGCTCATTACGTTCACTTAGGAGCGGAACTCTTGAACGGTATTTCCCGAAAGTATTACCTCAAAAACAATTGTATCTGTGGTAATCTTTATTAATGATATTTTTCGTAATTTGTAGATCATTCTTTATCTATTCGGATAATTAAAGTTTACTGCAAAGTTATGCAGATGACTATTAACTTATTCGTCAACCTTTGACCCGTTCCAGGCGTTTGACATCCCGATGTTAACAAGTGTACGGTTCACATTCGCGCGAAACGTTGATGAAGAGTTTCTGGCGGCCCACAAAGAGGACTCAAAAATACGGCGGCATCAACTCGGAGAACTCAAACAACTTGATCAGGATTTTGAAAAAAAGCTACGCGAAATTGACAAGGCCCACAAAACCGAGTCCGTATTGATTTGTCCCTTGTTAGAGAATCAGACTATAGCATGTGCATAAACAGATTATTTCCTTGACACGTACCTATTATCTTAATATTAACCATTCATAGAAAATGTCTATGTCGTGCTCTCACTTCTTTCAACAGGGAGGAGCCAGCAGATTGGACAACCGATGACTACCAAGTAGTTCAACACGTACTGGAACAGTATCCGAAAAGTCTCCCAAATCGCCGTGCCCTTATCATGGACATACTCAGAAGAAGATTTCCGCACCGCTCTATCCTCGACGTTGTAAGTATATCAGCATTTAGTAGGCCCCAACCTTAGCTATATTTATTTATAGGCAAACACTTTACTAGACTTCGGCAACTCTACCCATTTCTTAAAACCCGTTTATACGTGACGGGTAAAAATAACAATAATAGTATTAGGCTTCTTTTCAAACTAGTGTAAAATTACACCGATATACATAGGTCGTAAGTACTCAGTGTTACGTATATGCGACAATGTTCAACTTGTGTTATAAGCCTAGTTAGTCATGTTGCACAATTACTGTGTACGTAATTCAGACTCGGTTGTAAATATAAAAGGAGCTATGCCGTAGCGGCCGGCTTGTCCGCACATATTATAAGCCCAAAATGACTCGCATTAATATGCCATGATTTTCTATCGAAAATAATCTTTGCAATGTGCTCGATGACTCGAGGCTAAACATAACTCCTGTACTCTACTGTTTATTATCTGTAAGTCGACGTACATGGCATGGTGCCAAAACCAAGTGTTCTACCGGAGTAAGGTCAACTCCACCGTACAGGATTGGGAGCGCGCGCGCATCCAGTGGCTGAGGGAGGCGGGAAAAGCCATGAAAGACGAACAGATGGAGCGTCAAGCCAGAAGACAGGTGCGGCGTTATCATGGGCTTAAAGTTATTTGACAATTCAATTGACTTGCCAAAGATAAACGATGTTTACCTAACGTTTTTAGTATTGCAACTTTGTTTATTCCGGATAGGCATGAAGCTGCTCAGCATCAATGTCCCACTCCAATCGCTGACTGCTCGTCATTACTTATATCTTTTTTAAATATATTATAATGCTTAACACAATTAGCCAGAAGTTTATCGAGGTTAAACCGACCGAGCGTCATGCGTTTATATAACGTATGGCACTCGGTACGCCTATATAGAAGACTTATATGACTAACAATTTGTTTTGAAATATTTTTAATAGAAGCTGGAAAAACTAGACTTAAAGCCTAATCAGTGAAATACAAAGCATTTAGCTCAAGACGACATTGCTGAATATCTAAGGTTTAGTTATCGATCGATTTTGGGAGCATACTAATTTGTTCTCAGTGCAACTATCAATACCTAGCCAACGAATCGGAAGCTATCTCTCGAGCGAGCAGCAAAAGTACCACGACAGAGGACCAAGTCAGAGCCCCCGCCGGTCGGCCAATGGAAGAAAGAATTTGCCGACGGAGGTAAAAAAAAAGCGGGATCGCTCAAAAAGATTAAGGCGGCTTCGGGAGACAAAAGTAAAACAGGAACTAAGTAAGTAAAAGAACAAAACGATGTTTCTACTAAGCCTTTGTTAAAACTGTTTCCATTATAAACGTACCGTTGATTTTCGAAGGCACCTGGAGTAGAGGTAGCAAGCACCACAGACTCTTCATGGTTTAATCTGCCATTGACAAACAAAACACTTTGATAGTTCGCATTGACTCGTGACTGAATTTGAACTGTGACCCTCAGATTTATGATATGAGGCCAGATCTACACTAATGTAGGCATTCACAATTCCTGACAATTCCCAGTCATTGGTAGTCAGGCGGATATCATTCAATATTCAATATAGTAGGGCAACTGACAATAATACCAATTTGAGTTCGTTTAAATAATAACTTTCTTGCATATTATAAATACTTCATACCTCAATAAATAATTAGCGAAAATCGTGTTGTAAATCATAATGCAACTATGATTTAAGGTCGGGTTCTTTTATCTTCAACGCAGAGAATCAGTGCCCGGTCCTATTTAAATTTATTGTTTCTAGAACTCATTAGAAATTCCGAAGTCCAGAGACTCAGAGAGTTATTTGGGCTTCGTTTCGCTACATGAGCAAATCTAGAAAAGCATTCATGTTCTTAAGCTTTAATGAGATCAATGGACTTTACAAAAATTCACTAGTCTCACTTGTTAATTCCACTAAATTTGTTTGTGCTTCTCAGAGGGACCAAAGCATCAAAGTATAAACCTCGGTCGAGATCCAGTTCCAAACAACCAAATAAGACGGCTAAAGAAAAATCCGATCTATCCAAGGTCAGTGACGAATTCAGCTTCGTTCTATAGTTTTTTTTCACATAACGCCGTTTCTCAATGACAAGTAACTCTGATAAACTAAATCAACTTTACGACATTGCAAAGCATCGATCATTGCTTGTGATTTGCGTGTCACTTTTAAGATGTCAATCGACTTTTCCCTTTAACAGACGCAAAGCCATGTTTGTTACCAAATAAATGGGCACTGTGACCAACTCCACAAGTCCGTTCAACAGCCGCACGAACGTATTTCCACCTATAAAACAGATTTATTGCGGGTTTAATTTTATCTCTATACTTGTGAAAATAGCCATCAACTATATCTTTTAGTCGTATATTCCTGCGAATGAGAATGCGTTTAACAAGAGAAGAAGCTGTTACAAGACTGCTCAATTTCTCGAACTTTTTAAACATTAAAATTTTCCATGTAAAAAGACGCATGCGCGAAATGTGGCTCTAGGTGCTAGCCACGACATTCAAGAAGAAGTTCTTCCCTAAGTCATTAAAGTGAAAGCGTAAGTTTAGATTAGAATTTCATATATATATATGTATGTTAGATTTACAATAAGGAGAAAACACTAATAAATATCAATGGCTGACAGGCGCCTATTGCTCCTGAACAGTCAGAGAAAAGCAAGATAAAGATTATAACACAGTTGTAGAATCTTGTCTTTCCCAGGAAGGGGTGTATATAATAGAAGATCAGTTGTCCATATTCTAGAACTATCAATGTGGTATATTAGAAGTAATTGTTCCGTTTGTCCCTTAGAAAACATTCGGTTCTAGCTTTACGGCATGATTAATTAGGTTCAGATATTAAGTGAACTATATAGGAACTGGGGTGTGTCCTAACATTACTTGCTGTATACTGAATCCAGCTGAAACTAAATACACGATAATCACATAGGACTCCACAATTATTTGTACTACTAGAGTTATTTGACTGCTATGGAAAAACGTGATTCTTAAAAACAGCATTTTTTTTTACTGATACCTACCGTTTTCGCGAGGACCTTCGCCAACCATCAGAGAGACAAATACATTTCATCACCTTAATCTCGACAGTACTTCAAACAACGTCAATATTGAACAGTGGCCGCATTTTTACAGAAGCATTCTCACTGTCCTATTGCTAAAGAAAGAATTTATGTTTTCACGGTCTGCCCATTATTTATTTACCATGAATGACAATTACATCGCATTACCAAGATAATAACATTCATCAACTACACGTGAAATTCCACATCGAGATGTCGGTCGGATCATGATGAGGCCTTGACATAGATCGCATACACGAGTGGCACCACTTCTGCGAGTTTAGAAAGATGTTCCTCTTGAGCTTATATGCTTTCTAAGGCTGGTGATTTAGACAGATGTATCGATTCGCCATACGATTTGAATACAATATAAAAGCTTAGATGCCGTCAGCTATAAATTGAGGAACCTTGCAAGCGATACCTCCAAAGGCGTCCTGAACAAGAAAAAAATATGTTTACGAATCATGCTGTTAGCTGCTGTTTAACTTAGTTTAATTACCTGGGTGCAACGAAAAAAACTAGAGAAAAGTTTGGGGCATCATTCCGTAAGCATATTAATAAATGACCCTATTCTCCCGTACTGAACTGTCATTATAGATACTCTGATACGCTTATCGCGCCGTATCAGTGAAATTAATTCCTGTTTTTTACGTACAAATCTCTATTAATGAACCTATATTAAATAAAACCTTATCCCCGCCTGTCCTCTGTATATAACATATCATAACAATTATTACTATAACATCTGAATACAATTTCGATATTTGAGATATTAGGTTAGAAGATCACTTACTTTTAAGAATGCCAATTTTTTCTCGTCGAAAACATAAGAGTAGATCGCATGTATGCAAAGTATAGTTGCCTTTTCCTCCTACTCCGTAGTATAAAATTGATGTAAACGATAATGGATTGAATCACCTGCTTTAGTGTAATTCCTGTTCCTTTCCGTTGGTGTTTCTTCTTATTTTTCAGGACCAAACACAACGACACGCCTTGAAGGAGGCCAACCTTTCTGTGGGCCGCTCATCGCGCGGAGTTTGCTTGCTCGATACCTCGTTCTCGGCGTTGCTTAACGATGCATCGAAGACCCTAGCACGTCAGAGGGACAAGGGCCCCAGAGTATGTACGGTAAAAAGAGCTGTTACGTATATCTTACTGAACGGGGGGCTAAAACACAGGCTACTGCGTTTCCCAAAGCAAAGAAAGCCTGCGCAAGGTCGTTGTTGAACGAAATATAATCAGATAAGGACGGGGACAAAAAAGAGGGGACTTCAGTAACAAGATAAAGCTGCAGTCAAATACTTTCATGCAAAGTAGATGCTATAGCTCAGAGGACCAAACAAAGCAAGTCCAGCTGTCTTTAGAGGGCAGAAAAATTCGAATAAACCAAGGAAGCAAAAAATTAATCGGTATACAATTTATTGGTCAAACTCAGTGAGCGCCAAATTTAAGTATATTATATAGTTTATTAGGTTTCAACATGACTAATCATAACAAGGCAGTACCTTCGTCACATTCAAGAGGAACACGTAATCAAACGTTTACAATCCAGACATTTGAAACGAATCTTTTAAACGGAAAAGTAAACGTTAACGCGACACGTTACATAAGTTAGAACTAGCATTATACGGTGATCACTGAGTTACATAGATGACATTTTTCTCTATGAAGTGAACTTGACTATTATTAGAACATATAACTGATACACTGATCGAAATAATTTTTCTGTTAGATTATTTATGAGCGTTTCTAATCATTAAGTTCAATGCAAAAAATTCCCATTAAAATCTCTACTCACCCTTAGAAGTTATTTTACGCATTTAGTCACCCAGAAGATTTAATCCTTACAAGAATTTTGCTGTATAAAAAGTATTTTTGTGTAAAAGAAATAAAAAACGGAGCCGTATTATCTTTAACCACAACATCCTCGTTTACACCAGCATTTTCACATCAATACAGTACCACTTGAACATTTACATTAATATTTCTTCTTAATGCTTCTCTTTATAAGTTTGCTTGTGAGCAATCGAGGCCTTCAACGTGCAGGGGCATCGCTATACGCTACGTGTTCGCTGGAGATTTATGAAACAGCAAAAAGTAACAATAACTGTACCTAACCGAAATCATAATTAAGTAATTAATTTTCGACTATACGTCTTTCAACCGAAACACATCGTATACAGACTGGTCTGTTATCAGCACCTGTTATAGTAGGTCCAATCTACTAGGCACATAATCAATCCGAGTATTCTAGAGAAACTAAATTCTCTTGTGTAAGTGCAAATCTCTACTTTTATCCTCTTAAACGTAAATCTTAGACAAGGAATGAAGCATTGTTTAAAAGCCAGGTACCTGAAAGTAATCGCCAGGCCGGCAAATGACCAAGGATATGGAAATGCCTGCCGCAGTGTTTTGCCGCCTGTAGTACAAATAAAGATATTTCCTATCACAATACAAAGCACAGCGCATTGCTGACCAAATGTGACTGCAACAAAACTAACACTAAAAATTACTGATACATAGTCCAATCGGTAACTTGTATAGCACGTCAAAAAATGATGTATAAAACACTACCAACTTGAGCTCTAAACTTGCACTCCCGTTAAAAGAGGCGACAATAATAGTTTCAACAGCCCATTCTTATATCAGTGACCGTCTGTACACATATCGTCAATCACATGAAGTGGCTGAGCAGGCTTTCACTTTCAAGTTAATTAAAAAACAACTTTTGTATACATGATAGCTTTGAAGTGTAGACTATTCAGCTGAATATCTATAGTTGCATTTCTTATAGGAAGTTCTAAGGAGACCAATTCTTGAGACCGGCTACTCATGTGTTAATGCACAACCGTTTTTTGCCGCAGTTCAGTTCCCGAAATAACTTTAGGAATTACATATCCCTCTGGCATAATAAAGTACAATTTTAAACTGATATCTTCAAACGAATGCGATATGAGGTATCGATAATAGTGCACTAATTGAATTTGTTTGCAATCATGCACGTAAGCCATTAGTGGAACGCCAGATGAGTTGACTGTTAGTTTGCGAGGCGTCTGCTAGCGAATTAACATAATAGCGGAAAAGGCACAATCATTTCAGAATTTCAAATACGTCTTTCTGAAAGTGTTTGACTAGAAATTGAGACATCCAGCAGTCAGTCAAATGGATGTCCCAAGCAGCTTTGATAGAACAGCTTTATCTTCTAGTTGTCTCAGTTAAACGACGTAATTGATTGGCGTCGTGGGTATTACATTCTAGAGTAGATAAGAAAAAAATAGTATTGAATTATGTTTGTGTAAAAATTGATCATTTTGTGCATGATATCGCTGTCTAATGATATATTTTTGTTTGTTTTGTGCGGCGCCCCTATCGACCATAGCTTTAGGAGATCTCTGGCCAGGTCATCAGCAGAGGGTTAACAAGAAAAGAAACGCATCCCCCCCCCCTGCGGGATTCACTGGAAAACGATAGTACTTAGTATATCATAATTAGAACGATAGTTATTGGTGTAATACTAAGTGACAATATAACTATCTAAAGGCAGTATGAACCTTACTAAGTTGTTGTTGTTGATCCCAGCAATGTACAATTTGTCGGCAGTTATCACCATATTATAAAAATGCCCCGCATGCTGATTAAACACTTGGAAAAGTCTGCTATAATAATCGGTGTCTCAATCGTGTCGCCGTGCCTCACTATACCAAACACAGACATAAAACCATTGACAGAAGCTTACTTTGGAAAAATAAGCGGACTAGAAAGCCCGCAAAAATGCTCATGTGTATCAAACACGAAATTTGCTACTTATTATTTTTGACCGGGAAGAGGCTCTAAGTGAATACTAAACATAAAAACTTTTAATCCCGCCCGGGGCTGAACTTCTTCCGATCCGAAGTTTTGATCCCATTCTGGAATTTCAGCCAATGCGAAGAACTTAGATGCGAACGGAACAAGAGAAACTACCTAAGCGTTAGTCAAATTAGTGGAAGTCTGCTGTTGACAAATGGAACAAAGCCCCAGTTACGTAAAATCAGCTGAATAACACAGTAGCAAACAATTATATTCATTAACAACGTCAACCAAATATTTCGCACATTCGCATACAGCATTGTGTTACTTCTATAGACATTAACAAGTCCAGGATGTAATAAACAACTATATGTTTATGCTATAATAAACTGTGTTAATCGAAATGTGGATGCGTTTTTTATTAACTTATCATTCCTTAAATATTTATTTTCAGTACGCAGCGACCCGAGTAATAAAAATGTAAATTGCGTACGAAGAGAATAACTGTCATGAATCATGTAAAACCTCCTCTATATTTCTGCTCTGGTGAACGATGTTTAATTTTTTCACTGCATTCTCTCGAACTTAAAGCTGCCAAGTTTATTCTTCCGGAAAATATCGTTACTATAAGATATATGTGTATGCCTATACAGACGAAAAATAAGCTTCAGCAAAAAAAAACAACTAGATTCCGAATCAGAACTCTTGTACTTCTGTGGTATTCAATTTGATTCATTTAATGAAATTATGATTCGCCTAATATTTTAGGTTTAGGTATTTTGTTTAAGTAGGTTAGGCATGAACTTGTACCAAGGGTTCTTTTAAGAACAGTATCTTCATGTAAACTAAATAATTTAGTACCACAAGGGTTACTGGTCTATTGAAGTTACCTCAAGGTGGTTCTGGTCCTTACGGATAAAGATGGATGACTGGGTTTTAATAAACTCAGGTAGTCTTACATTCTGCGAGTATGTTCGAGGTAATGTGGCCATAAGACTTGCGCGGGTTTCGTCACAAATGCGAAGCTGTAGTAGTGTACTATGTTTAATACTAGTGTAAAGGAGTTAGATTTATGAAATGATGTTCATCGAAATCTCATCGAAAAGTATAGGTAATCGTAGAAGTTAGAAGTACTGTCCTTTTCAACGACTTGTAGTTACCTTATCTAGCAATGCCAATTGTTGAAAGACTGACAAAAGTTCCATCACACTAAATAATCTCAAATAAGACACTGTCGTTTCTTGATGTCCCAAATGTGGGTTAAGGTTATAATAAACTAAGGCACAAATTTTATATTAATATAATCATATCAACCAAATAGTAGTAGCCTTTAAAAATTAAAATTTTATGGGCCTCCCCTAAAGTGGCGACGAAAAGCTTTTTAAAAGGTTTCATATAGTTATTATAAAACAAGGTTTCTGAAAGAAGCTATGTCAAAACAAAATTATTTTTTCACGAAATCCAAATCCTACTTTTTGTTTAGTTCTGTTCTTTTTCAGTGTTTAATTTTCCAAAATCTACTAGAGAATAAAAATTAGGACGCTTTACTTTGATCTCAACTACGGTGCATATAATTTATTTCTAGGTACCTAGAAAACAAAGAAAGCTAGGATTTTGAGCAATATAGCATTTGCTATCAGTTTTCCAAGGATATGTAACACTTGAATGTTCATGACGTTTCCGATGACCCGCGGGATGGCGTCGTAATTCGAATCAAAGAAAACGATAACAGGAAAAGCAAGACGGAAATCCGAAAAAATTACAAGTATTGTAACACATTCAGCGCAAGCATTATACACCATCATAAATTATTGTTTCACATAAAAGTTACACGGAAGTTCTCTGTATCAGTTATGAATTCCAATAAACTTACGATTCGACAATTTCCCGGCTAACCCGCCTAGGATCAAAAATGCCCCGGTCCTTTTTTTGTGCGAGTTGATTCAAATCGTTTCGCTGTGTTTCAAGAATTGTCAATAAACTCCGAGGTGGCATTCAGGCTGGCTATTGAAAAACAGCAGCTTTCACCACTTTGACCAACACGATTTTGGCGCTGTCAGAATGCCCACGGCGGTTCCGCATGGCGCTAGGACTTATTACCGGACTTGGTTTAAGTAGTATGTTAAGTTCATACACGTTTATACGTTTAAGTACATGTTGTTTGGAGTTATTTTTAAATTACGTTGCTTCATGTCATTATCTACTCGTTGCCTCGCGAGTAGTATGTTACTAAAATTGTATATTTTGATATAAACGAAAGCTTTCTTGCTTGCTGGAAAATAAAAATCACTACTTTTTATCACGATTTCCTTAGTTCACGAAAGTCTATGATGTCCTGTTCATTATGGTCGCGAGGTTTTTGTAGACGTCATATTAGCGCTAAAAAAATCACTCGTCTTTTTAGGTTTGATGCACCCTGATTGTCGATTCTATCGGCGACATGATAATTTGTAAACCAAGATGACAATTTCTGAATAGATAAAGTTATGAATTTGTATCTAAGTGCATAACTGCTTGTACGTCGCAGGAGAGTGGATACTTGTTAATCCTGTCGAAGGTGTTGAATTCAGCTTGATGCTGGGAAGGTTAGACGACGCGGCACGACAATAAAACAATGTGACGATGATTTTGAAATAATTATTTTGTAATTCAAGTATGGGTATCATTTCCATGGAGAATGTGTTCAGAATGAAATAATACTACTATCGGATCCATCTGCTCCGCCTTAGTTATAGCGTTATCGTTATCTAATATAACATTATCATTTTTTGGTTTTTAGTTTGCCTGTCAACGTAATTACATTTTTCAAACTAAGTCAATAAAGCGTCACATTTTGAATCGGGAGAGTCAATGGTGATGTTGTTGAGGAGGCTGGTTGATATTTGATGATCTCAACTTTCGTTAAGCTCTGCCAGAAGGCGTTGGGCGTATTCTGTATGGCGTTGAATTTCTGTCGATATGTCTGGACATGGTCTCTGAAAAAGATCAAAATACGATACTACTGACGTAGAAGCTCGAAGTAATGCGTTTCGCTAACGGGTGGGGGCTAAACTCACATTCCGACATTGAATTATTCCAGCAAAGTATCAGTTAAAAGTGGGGTTACAGGAAATCTTGATGGTCGACCGTTACTTACATTTCGAGCTTCATCGATGATTCGGGGCATGTCGGAAGGTGTCATACCAGGTAGATCCCACAGCTTCTCAAGATACTTCATTATTTCCGTCACTGCTTCCGATGACAGGTAGCCAAAGTTTTCGGGGAAACCTTTAGATTCTTGAAAACGCATTAATAAATAGAAGTGTTAAGCTAACACCAACTTAATAGACGTTTCGCCTTTTATAGTTCGCACAACTTAAAAACGAATTGTAATTCACGCAATAAGAACTAAGATTCATGAAACGCATAGCACCTACCAATTGACTTTGCAATATTCGGTAGTTCCCGATAAACGGCCTTAATGGACTCTTGCTGGTCAGGGCTGGAACATAAGCGAAGTACTTCGTCCTGTGGAACGTCCTCTACTAAAACATGGATTACGACCTCTTCCAGGTCGCCCGTTTCCTGAAAATTTGGAGTGAAATTACTGGAAACTCTACACGGGCACTACTCTGAAATCATTTCCAACATCCAATATTTCTTAATACAGACGATTTTTTTCGCAAAACGTGGGAGAATGCATATAAGACAAGCAGTACATTAATTGCCTATTATGATGAAAAGTTTGTCCCGCCCCAAATATGCCTCTGCTGGGGTCTAAACAGAAACAGTGATGCTTGTAGGTGTTCGATTGATATGAAAAATTCGAACATGAAAATGCGTGTAACGTATTCAAATAGCAATGCGCTCATGCATAGGATCTGGGAAGTTTGGCAAACTTATCCATTCTATTTATGGCTACAGAGCACATCGCACTTACTCATTAAGCCGACAAACTACATTGTGCGACTATATCGCAGTAGACCCCACGATAAAAGGAACACGTTTGAAGCAAAGTTACAGACACACCTAAGCAGATTATCGGATATAGCTGAATAGCGTACATTAAAATCCACAATCATGATCGTCAACTTGCTTATACATTTTATACGTACCTGGAATTTCACCATGAGCTGCTTAAGGCGGGTCCGGTCCTTCTCCTGGAAATGCGGTTCATATAACAATGTGATTTACTCAATAATATTCGATGTATTCCATAATCTTATCCAGCACAGCATGGATCTTAAGAGTCTGTAACGCGACCTATTGATCGCTCGTTATTTCTGAAGTACAATTTAGCTAGCGTCATTGCACACTATAACAAGATTTTCCTTCTGTGTTTTGTTTCTTGTGCTTTCTTGAACAGCAGATGGCAACACAAGATTTTCGTACTCCATCCCATCTAAGAAGCATGTAACCGCTGCTCCAGAAAAAGTTAGAAGAACACGGTTCGGTAGACAATTGATCTTTAGTAGCTACGATGTTATTTCTTGATCTTTCTGTTTTGGTCGATGATGGCAGCAACACGCCTCAACCTTTTGCCTCCAACGAGTTCTACATGTTCGGATGAATCCCGAATACAAATCCATGCAGGTAACTTTTTGTGATGCATAGGATCTCGTACTTTACGGAACATTCTGCGTGTAAGCAAAAAGGATCAATGGTAAGTAAGGTTGGCTGTATGCGACTAAATTAACACAGCAGCGAACAGCGGAAAGTGGCGCTAAAAGACGACTTTCTTGCCACGTGCCGCCTGTACTAGGTAACAACTTTGAGGTATTGAGAATAGATTATCAAACGTTTCCTGTTGCATACAGTAATTAGTACAGTAGCGTTTGTTACATCGAAACGCACGCTAACACTGGATCATTCCAACTATTCCATCACTGACAAAATGTCATTTGTCCAAGGGACCAACAGTGAGCTAACACACAATGCAAAGAGCTTCTCAATTGCAATAAAGACACTCGAAGCGGTTTTAGTAATTAACGCGAATTTATTCACACATTATAGTTGTTATATTGCCACTACTAATTATTTGCTTGCCTGCTTCTACCGTTGTTTCAGTCTAGCCTATATTAGTAAATTTTTTCTGTTACTGTTAATACATAAGTATATACATAACAGATTAGTGGGTATGAAATTCATCCGTTAGTAGAGCTGAGTAAGCAAGAACAAACGTTGAGAAAATCGCTGAGTTTTTTTCTTGGAAATCTTCGAGAAGATTAGTTCGATCTTGGATCAGTTTGTTTTATAGTTCCATTTTCCAAGATAATGCGAACAAAATGCAATTGAGAAACTCACATGCACTATATACAATGAAATAAGCATAAAGTGATGAAATAAAGCGATTCAACTGTAGAAAAAAAAGAGCCACTAAGTCGAGCCCACACAACAGGGGAACACATTACACCACTTATTTGATAATTCGTATATCACTCACTTGTCCAACAAATTATTCTCGGAAAGCAATTTAGCTTTGCCTTAAAAGTATACAAGCATCACACTGTGTAAAAACAGCGTAGCGATAATATCAAACAGCAACCGAATAAACACAAAGCGAAATGTGAAAAAAGAGAAGCCTATCGAACGAATAAGATCAATTGGTAAGTCTCAGCCCCAGATACTGTACGTAATTTTCTTTTCAACAGACATGTTTAATTTGAAGAAAAACTGATCATTGTCAATTTTCTAACAATTCTGTGATAACCTCAACCGACGTTAGCCATTTAGTATGTAGGCAGTACTTACATCGTAAGCTAATCTCTTGAGAAGTAGTTGATCTAGCGTTCATTACCGCCGAAGTACAAAAAAACAACTTACCAAATCTACATTTCCCGTTAGATTTTGAATGTAAAATATACACCGTTGTCATTTAGTTCACACTTGAGTCTCCACTTACCACGGACGCAACACATCGACTAAGCTAATTTGACTACCTATTTAGAGTCGAAGCGTCTATTGTTCATACTATATAACATGTGTGTCGTGTCGTGTACGGAACACAATTACCGTCTTATCGTTATAATCGTTCGTTCCTTGCCCTTCTGTCTTCAACGAGTCTTAATAAAATACCAACAATTCATTCAAGCTATTATCATCACATCGTCTTACCGCAGATCCAGGTGGCGTGTTCGCACGAATGTATTTTGTGCGCCCGAATGATCTTTCTACGTTTACTTTTTTTTTTTTATTAAATATGAGATAATAAAATTGAGTTCTGCTTGAGGAACGAGAGTACAGCCAAACAACGCTACGCACTTGTAAGCTGCGTAAGGGTTGAATTTGTTGCTATAGCCATATGTTTACTTTTCGTCACAATTAATCTAATTAGTAATCGTTCGCGGGATAGATATCTTCTGATCTTGGCTGTTGTTTCAGCTGTTGCTGGTATAGTTGCCGCTGAATATATTGCTGACGATTGTATTGGGGTAGGGTCCGACTGTACTTAAAAGGCTGATTTAGTGTGCGTCTCGAATCGTGTGCGATCGCTGTTATTGTTGTGGCATTACTCGTATTTATGTAGATAGCACGATTTTCTTGAACAGCGGGCAAGTGTCTGTTGGCAAGTGGAGTTTGTTGTTGGTTTTGATTATCACTGCAGACGTCTGTTGTTGTTGTTGTTGTTAAAGTGTTACGTAGAGCCAGCCGTGAACGGTGAACCATCCCGGGGGAGATATCGTTAGTGGCAGAATGAAGCGTATGATGGAAGTTAGGCGATTGTGGTTCATGACTTGGATTAGTGGCCAAGGCGAGATTGTTGGTTATAGCTGTTGTCGCTGTTGTTGTGGTTTCACCTGCTATCTCAGGCAATGATTGATGTTGTACCTGCTTGAAGCTGCGCTCTTTGTTGCGTTTGGCACGCATCACCGTTTTGTAAAGCTCGCTCTCCGGGTCAAAATGCGTTCGCGTCTGATCCAGAACCTAGTGGATGGATTATCATTTGCCCAGTAGAAGTCGTTGGACAAGTCCAGACGGCAATCGCGATAACGCGCACACACACAAAGCACAGCACAGCGGAGAGTGTTAGCACCTGGTTACTGTAGCGTTACGTACATTGGAGACGGCGACTGCATAATAGCCATCTATTTAACCGTAACAAAGAAATAAGCGCCTACTAATCTCTGATCCACAAAGCTCTAAGAAGCTAGCTGATGACTCCAACAATGAAAGAATTAGATTTTTTTCTAGATTAACTTAAACGGCATATGTGTTAGAGAAAATTCTTTACCCGGAAATTTCCCTAACATTTTTTGTACCATTCAACATGTTGAACAAGTGTGTTGCTGGTATATACTTGCACTAGAAGTCTGTAATGCATTAGACTAAACGCCCTACATTAATATATTAGAAGCTACTGCAGGCTCGCCTTTTTGCCTTACCCAGTTGTTACCTGGCGTAAGCGGTCAGTTCAAAAATAAACATAATAGAAAATTACGCATTCAAGCTTATCATACCATAGATCTCCGAAATTGTACTAGCTATATGGAAATACGAAAGCCTTGCTATCCTCAATTTTACCCATCCTTAATTGCAGTGCCACTAAGCGGATAGCAGACCAACCTTGTTTTCGTGGTGGCTGTAGAGCTCGTTTATGACACTCTTTACTGTCCGAAGTTCTTTATCGACATCGCAGGCATGAACCGGCATCGCCGCAAATGCTGTCAGGCAGTGGTCGCCCGTACGAAGGACTGGCAGTACCTTTACATCAGAAGACAGACAGCAAATGGCAAACAAGTTAAATTTGCGTATGAAGCCATTTGAAAGTATGTGCTAGATTGTAGAAGTTAATATTGATAATATTAGGAAATACAGTAAAATTTTACTAGTCTGAATAGAAAATCACACAGGTAACGGTCGACTCACATAGCCACTTAGCCAATATAATTCGCAGTAGTAAAAACAATACCGCCGAAGAATAGTATTTACCTCCAGATCGTCTGGTAAGTGCTGCTTCCAATGTCGTACAAGCTTCCATAGACACTTAGTCATGAGGTCGAGGCAGGTGCGCGCATTTCGGTCCGTTTCGTGCAGTTTACGAGCCACTCGATCAGTATAGACCCGCAACAAAGCGCATGTAACCCGTGTCGCGTTGCACCTGTCCAACGACTTGACAATGATGTCATTGAGCCGCTTTTGTACATCCGATGTTGTTGAACCCGCCTTTAAGAAAAGACAGACAGATTTTAGCCCAGGATGGCTAGTCAATTCGGACAGTGGCATTGAAAGGATCTCACAATTAGTGAGATAAAACTAAATTAATCATTTAAATGGTTATAAATTGCCTAATTTGGAAATATGCCAATAACGAGACGTTACAAAATGAAAGAAATATAAATGCCGTAATCATACCTTAAGGAACTTCTCCAAAAACTCATGAGAGAGCAATTGGAACGCAGGTGGGAGGAGAGCTTCGATAGCCGCCTGTGACGCAAGCTTTGCGTACGAACCTGTCGTAATGACAGTGTACACGCACGCACCCAGCGTATGAATCACCTGACGGATATCCTCTTCCTTTGACGTATCATCTGGTATATACAACGTCAGCACCGTATTCCACTGCTGGCCCACGTTGGCGAAGAGCGAATTAACGTATGCTTCATTGACGCCTGGAAGGACCGCCTCTCCTTCTCCCGACTGTAGCGACATAAGAATTTGTTGCCCCGCGAGAATTACATCTTCAACAGCGGTGCAGTTGAGTTTTCGAGCAATTGCATTTTCATCAAGCCCGCCCCCAACTCCCACAGGCCCGCTTCCACCACCTCCTCCCAACGATATCGACGCAGGGAGGTTTGGTATCGGACCGCCACTAAGACGCGTCTGTATGAACAAATGTTATAAACGAAACAATCCTTACTAGGTAGCCCATATGTACTTGAATCACTCTAACACAGTTTAGGAACGGAAACGTGAGTAAAATAAACGGTTCTAAGCCAACTGCAAAAGCGAAGGGCAAAATTATTGCACGTTACAATATGTAAATCACCTTCTATGAAATTCTTAGCAACTACTGAGATCTGGGGTCCATTGGCTTCACTAATGGGCTTGTTAATGGAACTATATATAATTGTGAAAGAATGTAGTTGACGTTATATATAAATTTACTGGAACATATAGGAATGATATCCTTTGTCGTTCGACAGGATGCCCATGTTTTTAATATTATGTTTGCTGTCGTTGAATTCGTAATAATAATTCGTACCTGTTCCTCCTTCCTCAGGGCAAGATCTGCTAGACGTGAGATCCGCTCGAAGTTTTCAGCGTCGTACGTTGCTCGCTGAAAAAAACAGAAAACACAGAAGAGAGAAAATGAGCATATGTTAGGTTAGCTAGAAGGTTCCTTGCAAGCAATGGCGTTACAATAACAAAAACATTTTAGATAAATGTGTCTCAGCTGACAGCATTGATTATGAAATATCTGTTATATTATAAAGAAAAAACAACACGAAAATCATAAATTATGTAAAAGAGTAATATTTGACTATAGAAGTTGCGACTGATGCGTTTGTAGATTCCGTTGATAGTCCCGTTTCGAGTCCTATATTCTTACCACTGGTGCCGATGGTTGCCTGATGGTCCTTGACAGACCCAGAGGTGATCGGTTGGTGCCACTTGTGCGAACGCTGTAAAAAATATGTAACAAACAAAGCAACAACAAACACCAATGATACATAACATTTAACAACTGAATATCACTAAACATTCGATTCAGATAATTCCGTGGTCATTACAGAAATACATGATCGCAGTTAGCCCAGAAGCCCGTAAATATCTCTTAATTATGGCGTACAATTTTCCTTTAAGACCCCCTATATATACGTATATATATATTCCAAACCGAGTCTACTGTTGATGACTATGCATAATGTAACGTACAAAGTGCCACAGGGATCAACAAAACCACCGGCCTGCCCGGTTGATGGTCCGTGACCCTCAAGGTGAATATTGTGATGACTCATAGGAGTGTTGTTGTTGACTGCGTTCAAATGTTCCATTTGCTGTTGCTGCTGCTGTTGCAGATGTTGCGGGGGTGTTCGAGGCGAAAACTGCAAGCTCCCTCGAGGCGATGGGATACCTCGGCCAATACCCGATGTACGGGTTATCGTGCGGTTAGCAAGCGAACCGCTTGAATTGCCCCCAGCTGATGGTCGTGCAAGTTGTCGCGCCGGTGAAGACGGTTCGGTAACAGCGTCTCGAACTTCTCGCGCAGGTGCTGGCGGGGGTCGTTCCTCGCGGATTTTTGTCATATATTTCTCGATTGTTGCGCGATCCTTATCAGAGATCTCTCGCATCATATCACGTTGGTCTTTGTGACCTTCCTTTAGATAACAGAGCTCGGCGATAGTGCGGAGGCTCGCCTCTTTCATATTAGCTTGCTTGGTCAGGTCGCATAGCGCTTTTACGACAACGCGAAGATTAGGCAGACGTCGAATTTCATCGCGATGCTCGTCCATTAACTTGTTTAACTCGTCGATCATATCTGAAATTTGTGGGTATATATTTAATACCACAAACAATGGTGATAGAAGACGATAGAATAGCAAACATTATAGTACATTGATAAACCATGCCGTAATTGATCCGGTACTTCAAATTAAAATGAAATATGCCCTAGTGAAGCTAATTCAAAGCTCAAAATAACTTTCAAACGTACACAAATTTTGCACAAAATTAATACTCAATTAAAAATACAACTTCTTACTCTTGGCAAGCTTAAAGTTTTTTTGGTTCTTGAGCATATCAGCAACGTTCATGAAAATCTGAGATGGCTTGCAAACCAGTGGCAGGGAACGCATTACACTATCGACCAGCTCTTGACTCTGCGCAGTCATGGAGACAAACTTTGATAAGAAGTTTGGCAGGAGGATGTTGACTTCCACGGCCTCGAGCGCCACGCCGCGTTCGTTCATGATCGGGAACAGTTCGAGCAAGAACCGCATGAAGTGATTGATAGTCATCCAATTCTTATCGTAGCAGTGTACAGCGCCCCAGCGAATAATGAGGTCACGGTTGGCCAGCATCATATCCTGTGTTGTTTCGTCTCGGAGTGCCTGACCCAGAATATGCATGTTACTTCAAGGCATTACATAGTTGAGCCTCCATAACATCATAGAAATTGCTATCTATCGCTAAGAATTGAAAGCCAGTCATTTTTGTATACGCAAACAGGCATATACCTCAAAAGCAGTTAGTCAAAATTATATTACTAATAAAACATATTTCACATGCCAATATTAGAAGCATAAGAAAAAAATTCTATATTTAGTGCTTGTAAATTGTATCGTCTAGCGCTACAGAACTGCATGCATAAGCTATCCATTTCTACCTTTATGATTAAACTAATCAGCTACCTGAATCCAGATATCCGTAATTTTTTGATGATGTGGCAGCATCTCTGAGAAGGATAGCTGGATGCACTGGGAGCTGCCCCCGGCTGCTTCGAACATCCTTTTCAATTCTCCCAGTAGCTCCTGCTTCTCCTTCTCCAGCGTCTTCGTATCGTGAATGTACCAGCGCATCATTGGATCTTTGCGCATTGCTGGCTGACGAAGGTCTCTACTAGCAAACAGCAGCGCTGGATTCATTTCTTCTTCACCCTTTTTCCCTGAACGTTTTTCCTCTCGGGGTGGTACGGTTTCCTCAGTTTCTAGTTCCGGATCTCTGGACACCTTCGTAAGGTTTGATGGTTTACGGGTGAATGTTGCAGAGTTACCGGCAACAGATGCAGCCTTTTTTTCTGCTGGCGCTTTGCTTGATGAAGGTACCGCAATGGCTGCCTGAGGGGGCGGCAAGGCTGACTTTGCCAGTTCGCCTTTAATAGCCTCGAGTTGTTTGCCAATCGCACTCCTACTTGATGGAGGCAAGGCATTGCAGCGTGCCTGAAGTGCATTGAAACCAGTATGTTTTCCTAAAGGTAGTAGACAGGCTTGTGCCTTCTTTCGTACTTCACCATTTCGATCCTCCAGGCACGAGAAGACTGGATTAATACATGTGTTTAAAAATTCTTTGTTCAGCTTTCCCTTATGGCTATCTAGCTTTCCGGCAAACCAGTCAAGCAGATCACTTCGTAGATATGGGTTATCTGACTTGAAAGCGTCACTTATTTTATCACTATCTAGGAACATGTTGAGGGGATCCCGGCACACTTCATACCACTTGTCAAGACAGCTAATAGCCGTTAGGCGCAACTGAATTTTTGAATCAGCTAGAGCCGCCATTACAGCAGGTAGGAGCACGTGTGAATGCTTGTGTCCGTTTGGGCCCATAGCCTCAATCAATGACTGACAGAGTTTTATAGCGATATTAGCCAGGTTTTTGTTGGTATCCCCGATACGAGCTTTGAGTGCCTTTGGGAGCTCCCCAAGGTCAGACGTTATAGCGCTCGCCTCGTTTACAATAGCTTGTACCTTATTAAGCGCTTCAAGTCGAACTTTCCAATTGGAGTCACACATTTCTGCAATTATGGCACCCTGAAGGCTCCCACTGAGATCTGCTCTCGGCAAAAGGTCTGCAGCATCCACTTCCTCTGGTCCATCTTCGGCATCTCCTCCTCCGCCGCCATCGGTCGCGTCATCACCAGCTGACGCTTTCACGCCCCGTATCGGCGTCGGCGGTGTTTCGTCTTGAACTGCCGCCATTTCTTGATCAAGCAGAGCAAGTACAGCAGGTTTCTCACTCTCAAAGAATCCCCTCAATGGTGCCTTGAGATACATGTACATGACACCAAATAGTTTCACAGCGGCAGCCCTTACCGCCGGATTGCTGGCGCCAAGAGCTGATTTCATAGTTTCAATAACGCTTTTAGCTGGTACTTTAAAACCAAACTCCTTGATTGCCTGACCGGTCCAATTAAGTGCCTCGGACTGAACCTTGGGACTTTTCTGGGCAAAAGCAGCCTCTAGAACCTGCGTAGACACTACATCCAGACTGGTGGCTTCGGCGAGACTCATAAGCGCCTGAGAAGCCACTGCTGAATTCTTGGGATCCCCAAGTTTCTCTGTCAAATCTGCTTTGCAAGCATCAAGCGTGTGTAAAGATACCCTTCCGCGCGTAAAGATGTCGCCTAAAATCTCTATCTTAACCTTAAGCACTTGGAAATTGCTGTCCTTTAGCCCTGGCTTCTTTGTGAGTATGCGCGTAATTGCTTGTGCCGGAATGGCTCCGTCATCCAAGCTGCTGACATTGGCTTTCAGTTCTTCACAAGCGGCAAGCCGGATCTTCCAGTTGCTGTTAACGAGTTGATTGCGAATCGTCTCTCCGGCAATTGATTCGAGTTGAGTGACGAGGTCTTCATCAGAAAGTACGCTCTCTGTAAACACCATCTTACCAGACCCCTTGGCAGAACCTGCAGTCGGTTTCTTCTTGCCACCAGATGGTCCACCACCAGTACCGCCAGATCTTGCGGTAGCTGGTTTTGCAGCGGTCTTCGCAGATCCTGCTTTTGCAGATGGTTTTCGTACTACTGGCGGAGGTACCGACGACTCTTTCTGCTCGGAAGCATCTGATGCGACACTTTCCTTCGAAGGAACCTTCGGAATCTTTTTGATTGGCGCAGCAATTCTAGGAAGGGCATCCCCTGCTCCATTAGGTGCTTGGCCTCCTCCTTCGCCAAGTAGCTCACATTTATTCTTGAAATCATTCACCTGAAGTTTCGGTATTGCAAAAAACAGTTAGCCTACGCGTCATTCAGTCAAATGCTCATCTGTATAGAAATAGAATATAAGTTCGAAGTACCTACAGCAGCTCAATCTATATAAAACGATGCCATGTTATAATTATGTTATAGAGCACTACAAGCCGTGCCGGACTCTAAACGTTTTCACGTAGGATTAATAGAAATTTTTAGGATAAACTCTGATCTTTTGTACCTGTTTTAGTGAAGCAAAAATTAACTAACTTTATTTTTTTTCGGGTTGTCAAGCTTGTCTACTTGTGCCTGTAGAGCTTTGTCATTTGTCAACTTAAGTAGAGCTCCGGCAGCTTTCATCGCAGCGTCCCTAGCCTCTGGCTTACTGCAAGCGAATGCCTTTCCGAGTGCATTCACTAATGCAACAGGCAGCTTCTTTGGTCGCTCATTTTCAGGACATCGAGGTACGGATCTCGCTATAAGCTCGCCAGCCTCCATAACTATATCTGGCTTTTTGTCTTCAACCAACTCGGCAACCAGATCCAGGAACTTATCAAACTTTACTGTGGGCACCATCGCATCGACTGCCTTATTACACGCATCTACCAATGCTTTCTGGCGAAAGCCAGCACGTTTCACCAGCTCGGGTATAGCTTTTGAAGAGTGGGAAGCGATGCAATTGGGTACCTTCAGGGCGAGTTGCGTCAGCGATTTACATGAATCGACCGACAACATAAACTTCGCTTCGTTCACTGAAAAACAAATAGAAAAGGGTTATTTCCTCTTCACACCGACTCACCAAGTATGACGCTAATTCCAAACCACATAGAATAAAATGGAAATAAAGATTCTTTACAAAGATAATACAACATACTTTTCTTACGACGCAGATTCGAACAAGCCCATACTCGATTAACCCACCTGCTATATTTAGAAGAACCTTGATGAGCTCATCATAGTTAAGATTTGGAAGTAATGCCGGATTTTGCTCCAGCGTATCTTTCAACGTAGGAAGTACTCCCTTTAATTCGGTTTTATCTGCGAGCAGTTTCATTAGATTAGGTATCTTCTTAAATATGTCGATCGGATCCACAAGACACCCGATCAAAGGCGTGGCAGCTGCTAGAGCAGCTTTGTCGGCTCCTGAACTGATGGCCTTGCTTCGTGCCTCTTGCATAGCTCGGGTAAACTTAACAGGCTGGGGAGTCTCGTCTTTGAATGCTTCGAACTCACACTCTTTTGGAAGGTTCTTTTCAGGTAGGTCTTTGAGAAGCGGTTTCATATCATCCTTAGCCCAACGGTACATTTCCATGATAAGATTGCGACATTCATTGCGGACGTTACCGTTCGCGCTTGTTACTAATGTGAGCACTGGCTTAACCTTCCTTAGATTTATGACACCGGGCCCATAATCTTTCAAGGCAGTCACGAGAAACGCCACGTTGACCTCGTGTACCTTAGGTGTCTTTGAAGATGTTGCTGCTTTAACGCACGCGTCAACCACAGCATCATGCTGTTCACGTTCGATACAAACGTTAAATACGTCTCGACACTGGCTAGCAATATTTTTGTTCGCATGATTAAGAATGTTTGTGCACATGTGTCCAAATAAGTCAGCGTATTCGGCCTCGTCGAGCGTATAACCCCGGACAAGAGGCCCAAGACAGGAGAGTGCTAACATGATAGATTTCGGGCTTTTTTCCTTGAGGGTTTTCTTAATAAGTGGTGCATATTCCTTAAACTGCGAATCTTCCTCAGGGAGCTCTTTGAGAAACGCCTCACAGTCCGCCCAGCCCTTTTCTTTGTTGCCCATTTGCTGTAATACAGAATCGAGGTACACTTATGAGAAATCGGAAAGCTTATTTAACAAATACATAAGAAACACTATAAAAAAAAGTGTAGTAATGAAGTGTTGTGGGGATTTCTGTCGATGAATAAAAAATATTTTTTAAATATATTAAATGGGCACATTATATCTGGCACAGTTTCTAATTGAACCTATTTGGATACCCGCTAGGCACATTTAAGCCAAGCACCACCTGTATCTAACAATATCCGGATGTTACGGGACTTCAAAAGAAACGTTTTGCTAAAATCGTCACGTTTTTCTTTTTCAGCTGACCTTCAGCAGTCTTTGTAAACTTAAAAATTAAAAGTAACAAAAATGATCTTACAGCTAAGACAAAACAAGATTGTTTAATAAAGACATATTCTTTTTACTCTGCATATTCAAGGAATTATAACAAATTATTATACGAGCTGTCCTTTTGTAGTATATCACTGATCGTTTAACAGTCTGAGACGTTATTCCTTACTGAGCTCCCGACCGTTGCGTCGTGCAAGATTAGTTTTCTTTCAATACGTTGCGGGCTAATTGTGTCCTAAGTCATACATTTTGTCCATTGTGTTAAGTGAATATGAAAAAACTAAAGATGAGCGGCACCCCATATTTCTCCACAAGTATAGCTTGTAATATTAAGGATTAGTTGGATATAGGCACTAAGTGGCCATTTGGCCACTAACTAAAAATACTTACAGCGCACATCGGTGATTAAGAGGTTGAATCTACGAAAAAAAAAAACCGAGAGACTGGTAGCTGATGGAAACGTATTTATCAACAGCCATCCTCTACGGTCAAGCGCGCGAAAGTAGCTCACAGAAATAAATGTATTTCCGAAATAACCAGTTTAGATCGGCTTTCTTCTTTTTTGACACATATTCCGCAAAAAGTAACCTGTACATTTGAATTGACTATAATATTGTTGGCGGTTGACAGTAGTAAAGAACATTTACATAAATTGTTTTAACTAGTAATTCCGTCTCCGTTCACTAACATTCTAGAGGAAATAGAATTGTTTATTTTAAGCCGAGATCAAAACATTGCCGTCAATGGCCGTCGGCAAAAAAAAATAAAAAAGAAAAATAATATTCTAACTATTGATGGCTATTGATACGAAGTATTATCCAATCATTCTAGCTGTATTTAACCATTGCTCACGATTATTGTTACCATTCATATTAAACCAAATAACGTACTGGATTTCTGTATAAGCGCCTATTTTAGGGCAACTCTAGCGGGGAAAACTATTGCCCCATAAATGGAGATTAAAAAACATTGCAAATATACAACTAAATGAGTCCAAAAACCGGCATGACCATGTGTTTACCAATGCCAATACTTTTCGCTTTTACTTAGAGTATACCGAAAACTAAGCTGCAAACTTCACCTACCTTGTGTTGCATTCTCTGCACCAGGGGCAGATGGGAAACATCTTCGAGCTTTTCCTAAAATGACAAACAATCGAGATCAAAATTAAGTAAATATATCATTTTTTCTTAAAGAAAACTGAGGTCATATTATCTAAAATAAGTTAGCAGCACATGCATTACAACTATTAACTAGAACAAAATATAAGATGGCGTAAAGCCGCTTAATATGTCACTTGGATCGTATTTCGAAAAATGAGCCTTAAAGATAACGAACTACACATCGGATACCCAAACTGTTTGCTAAAAAATGTAAGGATTGTTAATAAGTTTGCACACTTGCAACATCATAGCTGATGTCAACATCATAAATGAGCCAACAGGCGCATTTTTAGGTTAAAGTGTCGCATATGGTTTGCTAGGGAATAAAGAGAAACATCTTATTAAATGATTTATCTGGCGTAGAGATCAATGTGTTTTAATTAGAGAAAACAAACTTCAGTTCCGCTCTATCATCGGGTTCCGCTTACTGTTGACTGAAATTCCTGAATAAATCTACATTTTCATTTCCACAAAGTTCATAATTTAGAGGAACTTCGTTGCTTATGCTGACTATGGTAAAGCTGAACGAGTGTGAATGAATGTTTTATGGTATCCTGTCTAAACCGGAATTGAGAAAGAAAACTTGCTCTTACGGCACATGCTTGCTGGTTAGATGAATATTATAACAAACAATTTTGGTGCCTACAGGTCTATCATATATAGCCAGACTGAATATATCGAGTACACGTGACTTTGAGGCCACGAACTCCTCCCTGTCATTGTAAAGATTATTTCCTTCCTAAGCTACAATGCATTCAACCCAAGTGAGAGTATTCGCCATACGGGGACTAAATTAACCGAAAAAAAAAAAGGTCCGTATTTCAAAAGAACTTCTCACGGCCGTTCTGTCAGCAAATCAAGACACTTAATTCATATGTACACATTAAAAATATATTAATGTATTAACAAAAACAAATGCACTTTTCATATAATTCCTGAACGCTAATATGCGGTTCAGAATGCTCATCTCGAAAGATTACTATGTGAAGTAAGAACAATAATTTTTCGTTCTTAGGAAATCACTTCTGAACAGTAGTTAAACCTAGCATAGAAAAAAATAAGGAAATAAACATTATATGAATTTATGTTACTGTAGGTAAGAACATCCGCTAAGGGTTAATTGTAGCTCACAATGTCTTCGATTAAAGCTGTCGGTAAGTAGAAATATGTGCTATTCTCATCATAAGGTTATTGTTTTGGTCCATTTAAAGACAGGCATTTGCACGTCGTCGCTATATTCTTCGAGGGGCACCTGTGTACTTATCTTGCCATAGCTCTTAAATCTATCGTTTTATACTTTCATAATAATTTATATAAGAAAATGTATCTATTGTCATGGTAGTTTAATAGCCTCACGTTTTCAAGTCAAACTCTCATTTGTGCCCACATATAAAACTAGTACATTTCGATATGTTATTATAAGTAAAATGTCAAACATAATCCTTTTTGTGCGAAATAAGAATCCTATACGATAACTTATTTTATTGACATTGTTTGGGACGGGTACGTTGAGCACATAAACTTATGGTACCAATCGGCGACTTAATCACTGCTCCATCATCAATTAGGCATAGCAAATCATGGTATGCCGCAACGGTGGCAAACAGTACACATTTTTAGAAAGCATGTAAGCTATTGAAGATAAAGCACTTGTCAACCACATCATTTTCCCCCATGCTGGAATGCGTAGCGATAGAAAGATAATACTTGACAAAATTTGATATATGGCAAAACACCATCATTGCATGCGAAAATACATCATCATGTCGAAAAGACGTGTAGAGTATTAGTTGTCACTTATAGAGTCTGCCAAAACCGAAATAATTTAGCCTTTGCTCACGTTAGAGGTGAGTGTTCTTTTTTTTTTATAAAGTCCTAAATCTTTTAAGTAAAAAAAACGTTTCGCCAGCGCCTATGGTAAAAAATATCTCGAAGAACTCTACCATGACTGTCTAACGACCCGTGGATTGGATTACGTGAAGGCAATGAGTGGAGGCGAGATTTCACTGGCAAATAGCTTCCAACTTGTAGAAATTTCTTGTTCTGATGACCGGCAGGATAGACTCAGGTCGAAAAGGCTGACGTATAGGCAAGGCTAAGCAGAGCACGACAAGATTGTACTGTGTAAAATCTCGTTTGAGATGAAACTGAAGATTTTCTTAAAAGCGCTAAAATACATCCTTGAACATCTCAGTCCATAAAAATGAATAAACTACTGGTTTAGATGATATCAAGAATCAAACTCAGATAGTGAGATTGCAACGAAAACTGTAAACTCAACCCCCGCTTGGTAAATAAAGTGTGGAACCACTTACGAAGTTGCTGCATGAAACCTACCTAAATAATACCCATTCCGGGTTGGTATTACAATTGTTCCACTGTTGTTTAGGCACTGAATGTAGAACGGGTCTTTTGTGGCTGTACGGCAACCGTTTTGTCGTCTAATGACGGACAGAAGAACAGAAAGATTTTAATGGTTGTCACGATCTCAAGCCTTGAAGCCATAATAACGACCACCACTCAATTACAGTTGCTAGAACAACAATAACCATCTTTCTTCAGTTCTTCGCCACCTACGCGGTGGCCTGTTACATTTACAACGTTAACAGGGTCACTAAAAGAACGCAAGCGCCCCTGTGTTCCCGGTGGTTCTCTGCTATGGACCTTTTTAGTTACCATATAATGCCTAAATATTTTCAAGAGAAACGACAAATGCAATACTGAACATATTGAAAAAGAAAAGAGTAGAAATATTTTTTGGACGCCAGTTACTATCACGATTGATGCTGTTGTTAATATTACCGTCGTTGCTGCTAGACTTGAAAACAAAAATTTAAGGACATACTGATTCGTGTTTCTGGCCTTGTCCCTCTTTATATTAGGACGGGATAATGGAGAATAAGGAAAATTGTGCTAATAGCGTATTATTGTCCCGCAATATTGAACCGGAATTAGCAATAGATAGGGACAATGAAAAATTAGTTCATTTCACTTCATTAGTATGCAAACTATAGTTGATGAAAAGTTACAATTTGAAATACGAATCTTACAGCGATCAAAGCTACATTACCAAATGATTGATTTCAGCAACGTAGACAACGTGGTCATATTGAGTACGCAATAATACACCAACTTTAATAGCACTCTCCGCCCAATCCGTCATAACGAAGGGCCTGAACCGTCGTGCGTCAAACCAAATATCCACCAAACTATTGACAGAAAACGTAGTGGACAATTAGCTGCGTAGAGACATCCACAAATTTGATCTAAGTGCCACCTTGTCCGGATTTGTACTCTTCAACTAATACTCGAGCCTCTCGTACGCCAAGTCCTACCGTATCATACCGACTATAATTTCACACGTTATTTCATACAGTACTTCCATTTATCTATTTAAATTGTTGTTATGGTTATGCTTATATAATCAACTCAATTATATTGTAATTTGGATACATAGAAACAAAAAAACACTAGCAAATTACTTCATGTTAGTATTGGAACTAAGGGAAAATGGACAGCATACGATTCAATATAATCCGGCAGAGAATAATTTTAGACTAAGCTTCAGCACTAAAAGAAGAAATCCTGTCTCGGAAGAAAGCATCTGCACGAATCATGCACTCGCTTAACGATAAAATAAATATCCATAGAACCTCAGTGAAAAACAAATCTACGAATTGTAGCTTTTTAGAAAACTTTTCTAAAGTTCTAAAAGTAGACAGTTTTTAAGCAATAACATCTATATTGTCATAACTTTAATTCACCAGGAAAAAATACAAGGTATAAAACACTGCATGTACTTTAGATCTTGATTCAGTGATAACATTTTGATAATATCTAACTGCGATGGTGTAACATGCATCCTTGATGATCTTCAACGTACGCCCAATGAGCAAAATAAGAGTCCAAAAACAGTACCACATAACGCATATCTGAGTTAACGTACATATATTACATTTTATTTTTGCATAACGTTCTTCAGCCATTAAAGATAGATTCACACATTGCTAACCCAGTAAATGAGATGGCTAACTAATTAAACCTTAATGCATAGAACCATAAGCTGCCTGTCTGTTAAATCATTTCCATCTGTTGACATGACAACAAATTCACTCTAAGAATAGGATCAGCAAACTCTATTTTCTAGCATATTTCCTTTTCACAATGAACGCTACAATTCCGTAATGATAATCTAAATGCAACTCAGAAAACCAAAACTTGACTGTGATACAGTCAAATTAGATGCGTATTCTATTAAATTCAATAACTCCCTTCCGTACAGTGATTATTAAATTTTCAAGTAATCACAAGCTACCACCTCCCTTCGTATGCACAAGAACGTCGTAAATCGGAAGGTCCCCAGCGAAACGGGTGACGACTGAACTACAGCCGCCGCCGGCAGCTGTAGCAGAAAAAGTCCTACCGCGGCTAGCGTTTCGGTAGATCGGCCGCCCACACCCCTCGCAATCCGTTTAAATAATAGAGCAGCAAGCGGTTGTTGTCGCCAAATATCAGTACATTTGTCCCGCGTCTTCACATGCGTATGCTTCTATGGTGGTCACGTTAGATCTGCGTGTTGGTCAATGCGTGTCCATACATGATATAGAGAGGCAGACTGCCCCGAGGGCTAAAACTGCCCTGTGGTTGCTCGTGTTACTGCAGAAATCGCTAATGCCGGCGGTCCTATACACTAGTAGCGTACAAGCCTGCTCATATAGATGGACCGTTACGCATAATCGCGATAACTCATGATCACTGTTTATTCCTACGACCGCGAACTAACACAAAATACAATTACACTGTACTACCGTGTCGTCCTCTGTGTGTACACAGACTTGCTCATCAGTGGTGAATAACGCGGTTGAGCCCTTACCTTGGTAAAGCCAACAATAAAAGCTGGGTAGATATTGTTATGATTCGAGCAGTTCGTTGGTTGTGTTCAAAAGGGTCTATAGGTGAACGGCCTCTGCGGCTCCGCCACGGTCTCGTGCTAAATATGGACATAGGCCCAATAGTCACAAAAGATCAACGGATCTACTCTACACAGGACAATGGGTAGGTATGAATAACCTATCTGCACACAGCACTTATAGTATGCCAATATGAACAGAGTACACGAGCCAAAGAAACGTCTTACAGGGGTCTACCGAAGGAGAGATATGGAAAAATTCAATCAGAAGTAGACGCAGACACAGCCGATGGGTATCTTTACCGAGTAGTAGTGGCCATTGCCCAGGGAAAGGGCTGAAATGGATTTCGAGTACCCGGTTGAAATAAAAAGGCATCCACGTCATTATTTGCAATATTCAAACGTACCTGGAACTCCTCGTTCATAGCGAAGTTTCTTTTAAACTATGCTACACCGCTAAATTGGCATATACACACAAACAGAACGTCACACCTGGCTAAACGCCATACAATACCTCGACCGACAATCGAGATTCTGTGCAACTGTCATCGGAGAAGCACTCTATTGCATGAATTGGTATTTGCTTAAAGACCTCCGCGTGATCGCCGTCGGTGACGGGCGGCTTGCCGTTCAAAACTGGCGCAAACCTATAATTGACCCAGCCGTTGCTACTAAGAAATATAAAAACAAATTATTGCATGAAATAAAAACAAGACAAACATACTAATGACATAAAAATGCTCAGAAGGAAATTTGTTAATATACGTACATCCTATTATATATATGTGGACTGCTTTAGCTTTGTCGTAAGCTGACAGAGATACCTGCTTAACAGCTGCCCTTATATAGTTGCAAACGTGTATATACTCACATTGCAATATTTAATATAGTATAGTGTGGCCATGGCGACCGGGCTCCCCTAACGCCCAACATATCAAATTTATACGAGATCTCCTTGTGAGTGTCTCGTATGAGATTCTATTGTTTCCATAGCCGATTTCCGGCCTTCGACGCGGCCGAGCGCGTTTTGCACGAGTCCGCGGTGGCAGAAGGTCTATACGACGAGTTTGTCGTTTTGACGTATATTCCTTTGTCTTTATAACAGTCGACAATAATCTCGGATAGGATCGATGCTGACCTTCGTAAAGCGGCGAATTCGTAAAGTTGATGTCGATGGAGCCAAACGGCGTTGTTTCGCGAGCTGACGTGTCGCACCCGCGTACATACGCACATGCTCTAGCCCAGATTCTTGTTCGGAAAGCGCTGTGCTATAAAACAACGAACGGTTTTCTGTGCGCTTGGAACGCGTGATGACAGAAAGCAGGAAAGTTTCGACTGCTCGAGGAAGTATCAAGCCGTACTTTTGGACCAGAACGGTTGAGTGTGTCTGGCTTTAATAAGAAGTTGTCTATTGTCCCACCTTCTCACATCACGCTGATTAGTGGTGTCTATCGGTGACTTGCCAGTTGATGCGCCACCAAGTTGGCATCACAGAGTTTGTGACAACCGAGCTGATGGGCTGACGAGTGGATCGAGCTGCACTGCCATCGTCATGCCGTATGGTGATGCGGAGCTAGTTCTTGGCACGCTTTAACCAGCAAAGAACCTCTGGTCTATAGTTTCGCACCATTCGGACTACCCCAGCGTAAAAGATCGGTTGTCCTCGGCGCGATACAAAAATTAGGGGAAGGTGCTCATTTCGCCGTTCTTTGAATGCTTATCTATAATACACTAAGCTTCATACGCTGATAACCTAGCAGTACGCTCACCAGGTTTAGCTAAATTTGTTAAGACGAGTCAATATTTTACAATGAGAAACGTTCGTACAGTTTTGTTCGAAGCCATCCTGCGTCTCCCTGTTTGAAATGAGACTAAGCTCGGGCCACACTTACAAATGTCTAAGCGTCCACCTCACGATCTGGTTCGGTGGCCATTTTCATTCTTCTGGGAGCCGTTCAAACTTATCTGCTCATCACTTGGGCTTGAAGGTGAATGATGGAACTGCACCGGGAGCAACTCCAAATTAGCTGTCCCTTCGACCAACTGCGATTTCGGCCATATCGCCAGCTATCATCGATGATCCAAGAAAAGTTAAGCCGGTCCGCTTGAACTCTATCCTTGGCTGGGAAAAACGAGCGCTTCAAGCGCGCGTATTTATCTACCACAAAATATACTACAAATTGATTGTATATTTAAATATAATGATTTCTTGACCTTTTAAACGAAGTGTTGTACTCGAAAACAAAATGTTTGGTATTTATACATTGGGATCGAATAAGGTGTAAATTAGCTCAGTGCTTTCACACTGTTTACTTGATGTCTCAAGCGAACCAAGGCCTTCATTGACTTGTACAAATTAGCATTAAGTTTACCCTGATATGGCGAATTATCCGCAAAATGATAACGTTTCAACGATAGCGTAATGCCGGTTTAAGCAAAAGTGGGAGCATGGGACTATTATGAACTCATAAGAACAACTATTATGAATTCATAAGGTAATTCGGGTTCAGAACTTGGCTTTAGGTTAAGCAGGTCCGATGTGAACTATGAGCAGTAAGAACCACTCGCGAAATGAGAATACACACGCTCTTAAGCTTCGTTGTTCCTAGCTAAGTGTGTAGATGTAAAACATGTGTAGTATTGCAAGTGGTCATCACGGAAGTCGGGTGGTCACAACCATTCGACTGGGATATTGCAATGTAACGTGTCAAAATGTGGTGTTCCTAAAAAGAACAAACCTTTGGACGAGGTTTTGTTATGTTATAGAAAATCAAGCATAGCACAGACTTGAAAACGTACTAGGGATGGGTCGAATAGATTTCAGAATTTCAAAAGCCCCGTAGTTTTTACTTATGTGAAACAGTAGAACGATCATATATATATATATATATATATATATATATATGCTAATAGAATTTTTATGGGGTTTCTGTAGCAGACCAGAAGAGGTTAGACAGAGTCGTTTGATTATCGAAATAGATGTGAAGTACCGGCGACCATACACTTCGACTAAATTGTCTAAAAATTTCAATTACATTTTTACCCACACGATGTCATGCGAGTTTTTTCACGAAACTATTGTTGTTAGTCAAACATTAGACCTTGTTATTAGAAATAGCACGCCAGCGTTGATTACAGTTTAAGTGAAATAATAATGTAAAAACATCAAATAATAATGATAATAATTATAATATTCGGAAAATGAGCAATGGTAATTTTTGTTACCTAACAGAATAAGCAGCGTTCCGTTCAAGTTCTACAAAGCTAATTTACTATGCATTTGCTACTTATCTCGATGACTTTCTCCCATATTTTAACCTACTTATTAACTCCGTCTCGACTCAGTAAATCCCATAGATTTAAAAAACGTGTCGAGCGTTACATAAATGCAGTTAATTTTCCAGACCAACAGCGCTTTTGGGCGGTCGTCTATGAACTGACGGCTGGCCCACGCTACGCGGTATACATTTTCCAGTTTCCAAATGTTATTATTGAACTTTGAACAATTCTTGCAGGCGTGGAGTCCACACATGGCACAAAGATGCCGGACTGCTCCAGCAACTTTTTAATTTTGGCAAAAGAAAAACGAAATAAAATAGTGTCAAAAATGTATTTTCGAAACACGCTGAAATTCGAAGTTCAATTTAGTTCACTGCGCAATAAAATTGCGATGGACGTATAAATGAATGAAAGCAGTTTCGAATAGAAACAGAGAAATTAATCATAAGACAGTCACTTGTGTTCCATTCTAATACGCAAAGTTTACTTCGGTTTCACTACGGAATGGTAATAAAAGTAATATACGGTGGATACTATACAAAGATGTACGCAAACATTACAAGATTTGACGTCGAAACATAACAGAAAAATAGGATACAAACAAACAACAGGGTAGTCGATAGCAAAAGTTGACGCAGTAGTTAAAAGCTGCCTTAAAGCTGCTAGTTACGATAATGACAAAAAACAATCACTATTAGAGCAGTGTGCCTTTGAGAAGGGTCATGGGCCTGATTAGACTGAACCAATGCCTTGCATATCTGATGTCTTAAGCAGAAATGAAAATAATAATTTTCTTCAACTGTGACGCGTTAATAATGTTTGTTTTCCACAAAAAGGCTTGGCTCTCCGAGCGTCGTCAAGCAACCTTGCTGTCGTTTGTTGCATTGTTATGTACACTGTTGTTCTTTTAATTATTTGACCATTTCGTTATACCATTCCAGTGCTGTAATTACTTCCTATAAAAAAGAAAACACTCTCTCAAAACCTACATCCATTTTTTTTATTTGATATTTATAGAGTGTTTGCAAATTAGTTATCTTGAAGTTCGGTAAACCTACTCTTCTTACGGCTCGTCGCTAACCTACTAGCGATGATAAGAGTTTCAAAAATTCATCAAGACTATAAGGGGAATTCATCAGAATTGATTTAGTTACATCGCCAAATAAACCTAGTCTGATTCCAATGGAGCTGACAGGCTTCAACCCAAACAAAGCATTCATAAAGGCTCAATTAGCTCTAAAACGGTCTATTGTAGCTCAAACTTGATGTTTTGAGTCTATTACCCTTAAATATATTCTCAAATAAGATGCCAGAGGCCTGCTGGGTTATGCACGACAGACTTCTGACAGCTTATTTTAAGGCCTGCAGCAACTTTGTTCCAAAAAGGCTACAATGCTATGGACGCTGTATAAATAGCGCATTAATGCCATGTCTTAAAAGTAGCATACTTAGGATTGGTATGAGAATCCGCATATGGTTAATCTGAATTAACTTACTTCATCAATGCCTTACGTGGATTACAGCCAATTTGGCCAGGCTACTAAAAATGTATGCATGACGACCGTCCAGGGAACCGACGGGCATGTCCCTTTTATTTTAGATATTTGCATCGGTGGGTCTATGGCGTAATCACATAGGAATCTCCTAACGGTTTAGAAAGCTAGGCAGCAGGATCACAAATTTCCACTGCAAGACCTATCGTTAAGTGTCAGATTCTCTGAGGAGGCCCGGCCATGGCTAGCATCCCTCATTTCGCCCTGGGCAGAACGGCTGGATCGCTTAAGGAGCTTCCTTGTAGTACGGGCGTTATTTGTTCTGTGCAGCCTGAATGAGTGTTTAGGCAGTTAGAACCAGGGATACAGCTGAAGCTTGCAGCATTTGCTTCAGTTCTTGTAAACCTGAAACGCATAATTTTTAAAATCTGACACAAATTCTACTAAAGGAGTGTGAAGATCAAATGGAGGTGCGTCGGTTGTAGAGTGCGAAGGTCAGTCGAACGAGGTACCGCTATGCAGCTATATAAAACGTAGTTCTTCTGTTGCACTATGTGAAGTCAGTATCTGACCTGTCGACAATTGCTTTTGAAGCATCTGAAAGTGTAAAATCTGTTCTTATAGTTTTATCTAGGTGTGCATCTGTGCAAATCTATGGGGAAAAGGGTGTTGCATTAAGGACGTAGAGAAAAAATCGTTGCAGTAGTATTTCTCGACGATTAACTTGTGTTTTTCGTGCTATACATCTAATACTTAAGCTATTAAGTATTACTGCGAGCAGCCCTCGACGCTAATCCTTCATGAATGCGAATTCGACAGTTCGCCAGTCACACTTGTATACACATATGTGACAGCATTTACTCAATCGGTACGCTATGTGGCTGCCTTTGAATGTTTATTGACAAACCTCGTCTATGCAAAATTTGATGTTATGGAAACGCTCTCACTAGAAGCACCACTGTGGCGCTGCGCACTCGTAAACGTGTTGATAAATACAGATTGATATTCTCGAATCGTGCTCAATAATACTCTTGAATAATAATGCTGCTTAATTTGAAATACGCTACCCTTTCTCGATTCTCCATGGCGCGGTATTACTACCTGTATCGCATGCGTATTTGTCGATTTCGACAACAAATCAATTAAAAACATTTTAAGACCTACATGTATAGAAAACGAATAAAAAATGTGATGATTGCATCACGTCCTCGACCCGAAGCCTGAGAAAATCTTTGCCACGACCCGATGGCTGCCATTCAGTGAATTGTCAAAACGAAATCGACTTTCCAGTGCCGTCTCTACTACTACGGCAAGCATTTTTTTTTTTATTCTTGTCGCGACAGCTACCGCTTCTAGCCATATTGGTCCGGGTATGAAATCCCAATTTAAACATTGAAAATATAATTGAAATAAAAGTAGCAATTATTCTTCCAGTGGAACAGGACTCGTTGCTCCTGAGCATACGGCCGTTAATGGTATATGTAATTGAGTAACCTTATATGAGTCATTGCGAATGTCGAAGGGACAATCCGCTTTGTAGCCATGATATCGAGGTAACAACTAAAAAAGAATGGGATACAAGATGCAGTATTTTTATACTGAATTAGAGTAACAGTAGAAAACTTTCTGACGGTCCGTATTAGGTGAAAGTGTGCAATTTTAATGTCGGGGTAGGTATCTATCTACATCGTTTATGGCAACCTAGCTTTCAATCGTCGCTTAGTAGTGTCGCTGTGTCGTCTTGTTGCCACCCTCGCCATTTTGGAAATCGAAAATTCTAACCGTTCACTTTGTCCACTAAGTATATTAGACCTGTAAAAACGTTGTATATTAGATATATAGATGTTGGTTTATTTTTTTCAGTGTAAAGTCATATTATATATAGTACCTGATTTTCTAATGTTTACAGCTTCCTTTTGAGAGACGTGAATCTCGATGGATATAGCAGTTTCGTGGATTTTTCTGTAGTAATAAATATAGTGTATGTAAATCGTATATGAAATTATTCCCAGATATTTCAACGCAACGTATATATGTCATTTTGAAGAATACGTAACTGCAGTGAGCGTTCCAATAGTGGAGAAGTTACCCAAATCGAAGTCTTCTGTTTTTACGTACTTAGGATAAATTTCGGGAAGATTAGTTACGCTGTTGCCGGCTTAAAAGTAGTACAAAAATTATGAGGCAGTAAGGGGCACATTAAGTAAACCGTGAATATGTGTGGTTAAGTTCAAAGCCCACAGTACGATACCAACATCTCCAATATAATAATTATTCATAAACATTTGGTGAGGGCAAAGCCGACATGATAACCTACGACTATAATGCTGAGAGCTCACGCAGCGTAGCGATAGGCATGTTAGGGACATAGCGATGCCAGGAGTTCGTCTAAAAGTGACGATGTTTGACAATACAATTTCATACAATACCATAGTTAAGCTCATCATCGAAAAATGTCAGTGTGTTGATATAAGGAAAGAAATTTGCGTCAGCGTTAGTTGTTTCGGCATTCAGCAAATGGCTTCCCTATGGTACACATAAGGCATGACCCGTTATAGATTCGACTTTTGCTTTTAAATTGTTTTTTGTTGGAAAACCGTCTACTCTACTAAAATGTATGAGATATGATATAACTATCAACTCAGAATATATATACCATGTGCGGCATCAATCTACAGAGTACATACATACAATGTTGTATGTTTATACTCTGTAGAACCGGCGTAGGATTAGTGTTATCCACTTGGAACTTGAAGGAACCTTACTAGATGATGCACTGTATTACCCAGCGAGAAGTTTCATAAATCTGCGCTGAATTTCGCTTTCATGAACGTGAAGAAGCAGTTTCAACTTTAAGATTATGGTTGTCAAAGCAAAAAAGTGGACTATGGATCTTCAGCGCACATATGCCTCGCACATGAAATTTTAATTGCAGTTTTCCTATTAGGCCAATTTTGCTCACTTAATCCAGTTCTGAAAATGGCAAGACATACCTTTGTAATTTTTTGGGGTAAATATGAGTGGCCCGGCCAGGAAATTCTGTACGTCTCGGCTGGAAAAACCCACTTCAAAATACAAAGTACTATCCCGAGAGCTGCGCGTTTTGTCCGAACTGTACCAGAGACATATCTTATTCTCAGCCAGATTTGGCTTTAATATTTACAGCCTTCGGGCTGGAATTAGAAACAGATCATCGAGAGTAAATATCCAACATATAAAGTGGACTGTAGTCCTCTTTTAAAGTAGTACACCATTTATTAAGTTTCCTCTGGTATACCTGAGACAGCGTACTGACCCAATTTGTTAATTATATATATTTGCGATTATTTGTGATTATTTGCATAAATATTAACACTAATTATTTATCTAATATACAGATATTTAAGCCCACATATATACTTTTGTGGGTAGACCCAAGTAACCTGCTTTATGAGCAACTGGTAACTGCGTCAAAAGCACCACAAAGCGATTTTAGCATCTCAAGCGAAGTGAAACGTAATCAATATGTTTCACTAGCAATAAAATATACACCACACTAAGTTCCGTCTCGAAAATAGTCGAAAGAAGTACTATCCATTGGCTATCAGTAGGCGGTTCAGTGAAAGATGTATTATCGTGTCGTCCCAGCCGCTGCAGCAGTAGTAGCAAACGCAACATCGAATCGCCCGTCAAGGAAGGAATGTTTTGTTCTAAATGCGTTCATCCTGTGCGTGGGAGCGGACTCTGCCTGTCTGACGACGGCTGCTACAGCTGCTGCTGTTCATTAATGGTGAACGTCTAGTTCTTACATATGAGTCAATACCAGCAGCAGTTATCTGTCGTCTGTGTCACTACCGTCGCTGTTGCGACCGCTGCTGCTGCTCTTTTCTTTCGTTGGTACTGTGGCGGTAATGGTACTGTGCTACTGCTTCTGTTTGTGGCCGTTAGTGGCTGCGTGCTACTTTGGTTGGGGGACAGTGAGTTCTCCCTCGCCCTCCGACGGCGACCGACGACAGACTATGGCTGTTACCGGTTGTTGCTACTGCTGATGGTCGCCACCGTCATCGTCGTCTGTGCGTGTATGTGTTTTGTCGGCTTACCGTGTCCTGTCTGGGTTGTGCTGCGTGTTCATGTGCTGCTGCGGCTACTGCTGCTGTTCGTCGGCCAATGCTCTGTCCGGTGGTGCTGTGCTGTGGCGGTTGGCTGTGAGAAGAAGAGATTGTTTCTATTCTCGTTGCTGTTTTCGCCACTGCTGCTGCCGCTGCTACTCTCGAAGTGCCGCTGTTAGTTGGGAGCTTTGGTCTGCCGTGCTGCTGCTGAAAAGAGTGTTTGTCCTCCGGCCGCGCCGGACTTGACCATCATTTCGAGTGGGGATGTTCGGCCCGTTCAGCGTTCAGTTTGTGCAGCGCGTTGTGTTCCCTTTAACAAAAATCAGATCGCTAAAACGAGCGATAGAATACCTTTGGGATCAGTAGTTGGTGCGTACTATGTGTTCGATCCTCTCCTGGCGCCTAATTGCTGCCAAACGTCCACCGATTGATCAGTGCTGTCGCTGCCGCCATCGCGATACGGTGTGCATTGGGCGCTGTAACCATATAGTCAAAATCATAACAACGCTATTCTGGCTGTACCCCTGCACAGTGTGATTTTCTATGGAGACCATTATTCTGAGTGGCGGTAATTTTTGTGTAAGCCCGATCCTTGTGCGATTATAATAATCCAGTGGGACGAGTGCGCTAGTAGTTTCAGGCGTGTTAAACGCCCTGCTTCGGCGACTACCCAAGCGGTAACGAAGGCGATTCTTCTCTTTGACTCTATTATCTGCCACCTGACTTCTGCCTGCAGATCTATGCCAGTAAAAGACGGAGTTCAGTTCTAATATCGTTACATTGAGCGTCAATAACTGCCAACTACGCTCGAGAATATCTCGGGGAAGCGCAGCGACCGGGTAAGCAGCTGCACTTTAGAGCACATGTACGACCACTTTTATATGAAACCAGCATTGAATAGCGTTATTGCTTTCTACATGGACATATTTTTGGTGAATTATATTTTTATGGTTATTCCTCAACCGTTGTTCACAGGGTACCCGTTGGGTTGTTCGGGGGAGTCGTCGGTTGTACGAACCAAGCTAAAACTGGTTTCATAGAAATGCGAAATTTCTATTCAAGCTCATTGAATACTTTCCTCATGAAAGCAAAGTGCTGAACAATTTTGTCTTTAAATATAATATGACTTTTTCACACTGAGCTGTACTGTTTTTTCATTTTACATACACTCGCTGGATGTAACGCTGCAATGATCATGGTAACAGTTATTCTGGATATTAGTAAAGAACTGCCAATGCTCGTTTGAAGTCCCGTGTGAATTCAGTAAATACCCGGGAAAATCCGCTAAACAACTCCTGTTAAAGTTCCTCGTAGTAACATATTTTCAATCATGTTAACACAGTCTTCAAATGTCCTATGATTACCAATTCAATTAATATAGCTCATTTCCCATTTCGCCCGTGCTGCTGATTCTAAAAGTTGTTAGAGATGTCAAAATTATTGGGAGCGAATGCTTACAGCTGCAGATAAATGGTTACCATCGTTGTCGAACGGTGCCGATATCATCACCGTAATAGCTCGCCCCAACTTGTCGCGGTGCCTTTCGCCGGCACCGCCGCTATGGTGATGTCTGGTGAACCCTGAAAGAAACATTCAGCAAGTCCAGAAAGCTAACACTGTTCAACAATGGGCTCCTCCGCAAGGAAACAAAAAGGGAAGATGAGGTTAGATCGTGGGGTACTAGCGCCGATTTGATAATCGTTCAGTGATCTTTAATTCTTCGCATCAATAGCGAGGCACTAGTCGAGTGTGCAGAAGAAATACTTCTGACCATTGTCACGCTTACTTTAGCTCTACCAGGCGAGCAGCTGGAGCGGCACGTCGACATGTAGTAGAATGAAATTCAGAAATCGTTTTGCTTTCAGCAAAGCACCAGACGTATGTAGCTGTTCTCGACTGTCGTCTAGGTACCTAAAGTAGAAGCGCGTAACTGAAATAAAACAGGGATGTTTAAGGAACACAGCCGAACATCTTGAGCTCGCTGTTATATTCCCTGCAGTTTACGAATCGCCGAATTGTCCGATGTTATCATAGCTACTGCTTCGCGTTAGATCTTGAACAGATATTGGCTATTGTTGATCATTTCAGTGCACAGACGAAACTAGCAACACATTTACGCTCGAAATCATTGTCTTAATCAAATTTACTTGGAAATAAGTTATGTAGAATGTGTGCACAATGATATAACATCAAATAATAACAGCAGCAGCTCAAGTGCGCGCAGTATTGTTGTTTATTTTAATAAGATAATTATTTCTACTACCAGGAGTAGCAATAATGTCTTTCGGTTCGTTGATTAGACGAGTGGTGCCTGTGCTGCTAGTACCGTTTATCGTCGTAGCTTCGTAGAGAGGCGCACCGTTTTCTGTGGCCGTTCTACGCTATTGCATGTTTTCTTCGCCCCGGGTAGTGTGTGTACTGTAGCAGTTCGCCAATATCGTAAAATAAAAACTGTCATACAATACAGCTGGCTGGTGCACAGAGAAGGGGGCAACTGGCTCACACATGACAAGCGAAGTCCCTAGGGAAAGAACAATTCCGAAGCAGATTGAGAGAAGAAACAAAAAAAATGGGTGAACTTATGTCACATTAACGCAAACTATAGTCACTAACAGCGAAAGGCTGTGCTTGCATAGGGAGGGGAAAGAGGTATCGTAACTACGCCCTATTTGTGCGCTGACCCAACGTTATGGTAGCAGTAAGGCGCGCTGTATACGGTCACCCGTGCCCAGTGAGAAACTTCAAAGATAGCGATAGGAATCAGCTTCATCGTAAACTTTGTTGTTGTTACAAGGTCTAACGGGTGTCGATGCTGAGCTCGATATGAAGCGATTGCTGCGGCGTAGTTTTGGCAATGGCAGCCAGGACCGCGTTATACATCGAATAGCAAAAGCCGCAGTAGCATACATAGGGCACGATAGTACGTACCGAGAGTTTCCAACAGCTTCCTGCTGCTGCTTGCACATTCATTGGGCAGTTTTCCGATAAATGTTGTATGCTGTTCAGACTGTCAACAATGTGTATTACACCAGAGTAACAGAGCTTATTTATAAGCTTGCCATATCGCAAGTTGTACACCGAGGCCTTCCAAGGGACTGATATGATTCCACATTGTAGCACGAAAAAGATGAATATAACACAGTTATACTACTAGCCTTTATGGGGATGCTTAATTTTTTCTTATAGAGATTATGTGATGATGGTTAACATAACAGTTATCAAAACACAATGTTTGTATTGAAATTGTGTTAAAAGTGTGTTACGTTTTCGACGATTAATGCGGCCCCTTGTTTAACATATTCGTTTGTCGTCTCCATGAGGATTAAGGGCACCTCCGACAAATAGCAACTAAAAGAAAAACGAAATTTCTAGCACAACCAAACGTTTGAAGGAACGAGAGCTGGTTAATAGCTCTATAATATGATGAAGCGTGTCACTACCCACAGTTATGCGCGCCTTTCACTTGTACATGAAAAACTTGTTAAGCACGTTTTTGTGCTCACGTTGAAAACCTTTAACGTGGGCACAACAACACTGGTTATGTTTTATTATTCGTTGTTATTGTTTGTCAAATATGATTTTGCTAACTCAAAAAATAAATGATATCAGTGAAGCTTTTGTTTAACAGTGTTAGCTTTTCATCGGCGAATCAAAGATTTTCATGCGGTTCAAATGTTGCTATCTTCATCTCTTAATTAATTTAAGTTAATTGTAGACCTATTTTTTTTCTAATGAAAACTCATAACACTAATTAGAATGTAGTAAAAAATATAACTAGTCTTGAAATTATTTTAGATCTTGTCTGAACAGATGCGTATGTCCACCAACAGATAAGCTGCAGATCGAGAGATCTGAGCCATAGCCTTTCTGTCTTTTCAGAAAGCAAACCCGTTAATTCCGTAATGTATCTTACATATTATATTATTGATGTCATTTTGCGCCCCGTAATTTTAGTGTATATGCAGTCTGAAAAATAAATAACGTCGTCAATACCTTCACATCGAATGCTTGTGGGTGGCGGACCCTTGAGCTTGTTAATTTTATGGTAAGTGTGTTCACTGCTTCTTGCTTGAAGAAACACATTAAAATTTTTCTAATCCTTGGAAAGTTGATCGTGAATTTCTATTTAGTTAAGTCATCTACATTGAGTAGAAACTTAAACATGCGTACGCAAATGTATAGAAGTGGTAAAGGTATGGAAGGTACGTGGTCGGAGATTATCCACCATGTATGAAACATAACCAAAAATGAATTCTACATGATATCGTTTTAATCGTTATTGTCCATATGGCTGTTACCAGTCCACTGCCGGTAAACCGTACTGTGCTGGCTCAGGTCATAATGCTACCGGTCTCTGACAATTTAGTGGATTTCAAATTATTTTTCTGCTTTATTAGTAGATATCGTACTGGACATAGTGTTTATTGCACGGTGTTCTGGATAGTGCCTGCTTACCTAAAGGGGATCGTATTGTGCCAGGCTCGACTTGACAATTTTATTTATATGTCGCCCTTTGTCGCCTGCTTAAATCACACTGAAGTAAGATGTCGATGAATCGATACTTATTATTATTATTATTACGGGACCGTATTTATATAATTTTTCTGTAACGTTGCATTTGTGAGCTTGTTATAATTGTTCTTTTGACAACGCGAGGTTTTGAGCTAAAAGCCATGCCTTTGGCCAAATCAAAAGAATACTTAGTTTTTTGTTAATTGCTTTTTAAATAGTTGATTATCAGCTGTTTTTTTGGATGAATATAAAAATATATGTGTTAAAATTTAATGCTGTAGGCATGAATTGTTGCGTGATTACTCATTGAATCAATATAAAAATCGAAGTCAACGAGTACTACAGAGCGAAATATTAATGACAGATCCGTGACTGCTAGGTACATACGTTCGATATGAGGGGAAGTTTGGTGGTTAACACGTTTGAACTGCCGGTTTCGGCGGAACTAACGTTTAGTAGGTCATTTGATCTTCGAATTTATGTTATAATGATGATAAATTATGTTATTATTATGAAAAGAGATAAAAAGTATTATATTTTTACCTACAAGAAACCATCAGTTTTTGAAAATGAGTGCGAATCAAGCACTCTGTATCTCTGAAATGCATACGGCTCAGAAATCTCCGCTCACAGATTTGGGTCGTCCAAACGTTTGTTTATAAGATGTTCATCTGACTGCAAAGAATCAAAACAGCCGTTTTGTCTGTTACACAGCTATATTTTTCAGACTGGTGTTTTCATAGGAATTACTACATCGAGTTATACTACATGACTACTGTTGCGACTATACGGGCCAAAGTGAGGTGATGCTACATGGACCACTGTGTTAGAGACCTGTATGGAACAGGATGTCACTAATGGTCAATGTGATATAAGGATTTGTTTAATATACATATATCATGTTCCGAAAATTATAATGATGGTTAACCACCATATACCGCGCATTGTTATAGTTTCCCTTAAAGTGTTCAAATACGATCCTTAGATATGTTAATGTTTGGTATATTCCAGCCAATTCCTGCTTTAAGCTGTCTAAAAAAACCTATCAATACCTGCATTAAACTAATCTTTCATTAGCTTGCCACTGAAGAAGTACTAAGCATTGACTTCTCCGGCCAACATCATAGCACTTGCTCCGAAGTTAATGATTTGCTCTATATGTTTGTTGAATAACCGATTTATTCATACAATGTCGCGAATGGGCCCATTCTGGCTCACGTAAAGCTACTTTAAAGGACCACATTGAACAATATAACTGATATTTTTCTGGGATACAAGTACGGTTGTGAATTTTATGTTAGGTTATAAAATCTTGGAGTTTTTAGCG